CCACCTCCAGCCGGTGACCAGCCACCTCCAGCCGGTGTCGAGCTGCCCCCAGCCGGTGACGAGTCGCCTCCAGCCGGTGTCGAGCTGTCCCCAGTCGATGACAAGCCACCTCCAGCCGGTGTCGAGCTGCCCCCAGCCGGTGACGAGCCGCCTCCAGGCGGTGTCGAGCTGTCCCCAGTCGATGACAAGCCACCTCCAGCCGGTGTCGAGCTGCCCCCAGCCGGTGACGAGCCGCCTCCAGCCGGTGTCGAGCTGTCCCCAATCGGTGACAAGCCACCTCCAGCCGGTGTCGAGCTGCCCCCAGCCGGTGACGAGCCGCCTCCAGCCGGTTTCGAGCTGTCCCCAGCCAGTGACGAGCCACCTCCAATCGGTGACGAGCCACCTCCAGCTGGTGTCGAGCCACCTCCAACTGGTGTCGAGCCACCTCCAGCTGGCGTCGAGCCGTCCCCAGCTAGTGACGAGCCACCTCCAGCTGGCGTCGAGCCGCCTCCAGCTGGTGACGAGCCATCTCCAGCTGGTGACGAGCCACCTCCAGCCGGTGACGAGCCATCTCCAGCTGGTGACGAGCCACCTCCAGCCGGTGACGAGAAGTTACCAACCGCTGACGAGCCACCTCCAACAGCTGACGAGCCACCTCCAGTCGAGGGCGTGGCAGTGCTGTCCAGGCTGAACCTGAGCGTGGCAACGCCGTCACTCTCGGTGCGTCCGACTCCGGGCACGAGCCAGCAGCGGACGCCGGGCTCGGCGCGGAAGGCGGCGCAGTAGACGCGCCGCAGACAGGAGACCGCGCAGGCGAGCCGACCGGCCAGCGGCTGCGATTCGGCTGCCGGAGCCGAGCAGACCTGCTGCGGCCCGCTATAGCACAGCTCACCGCCAGCCAGCGGCCAGCAGGCGGCCAGCGCGGCCACGGACAGGGCGGCCAGCATGACGCGACGCCGCCGGCAGACGACCACGCCGCGACACGTGGGCTCGCCTCGGTGACAGCTGCTCAGCTGGCAGACACGCGGGCTCGCCTCGGTGAGTGCTGCTCAGCTGGCAGACTGTCTCGGCAGACTGATGGTCGTCTATTTCGCAATGGTCGCTTTGGTTGATGGTCTCGAAGGCCGCTTCTTGACTAAGCTGATGGCCGTTTATTTGGCAAGTTTACTGCTTGGCTGGCGGGCTGGCTTAACTTGCGACGCCAGGCTGGCCAGCTGGCAGTCAGTCACCCGGTCCTAGCTGCAATGGTTCCTGCTGGACGGGGGATGTAACGTGTGCCGCTGGCCTGCAGAGGACAGCTCGTAACTGGGCTACTGGAGGGCCTTGACGGACCGGTAAGGCGTAACACGCGCACAAAGGCTACGCTGGCGGCGGAGCGCCCTATATAAGCTTGCGGGCTTCTGTACATAATCGATGCATAAGAAATTAAGCTGCGGGGAACCAGCATTAGATTGTACACATATTTCGTGAAGTCTTGCTCTGAATGTCCAACTCGTCTTCTTTGATTGGGCGGCAAATTATTGGTTTCACTGTGTATGGAACCATTGCAACTTGAGCAGTTCCGCACTGCTCCGTCTGTTTTCCCGTGATTTTCATGTGACTGTAGAATACATTTGTCGTTTTTCAGGCGTCAGTAACCCAGCACGAGCATGTTTGTTCAAAACTTTCGGCGAGGGCTCAGACGTAAGGCATGATTAAATTAATTGATTTAATTGCGAACCGCAGCGATCGTCGAGTGCCAGTATCCATAGCATTCTTCACCAGCAAATGACAACGCGAGAGGATTCAAGAGGTAACTTTGGGCGAGGTATTTCGGTTTTACTGGATTAATTTGCGCAACTGAGAAGGCTGCACGCGACGTTTGATTATTGTTTGCACTCATAAGCAATATTCTGACTATCACTAGACACCGCAAGTCCAGGACAAAAGTGACGCATAAAAAACAGTGAGTGGATATCAGGGGGCCAGGCTGAAGCCTATAGTCCACAGGCTTGCGTTCGGTAGGCGGTCGGCGGACACATGAACCCCGGTGTCAGCATACCGAAGTTGGTTGCTTAATTTTCGCATGACATTATTCTACAACGATGTGCAAGATATGCAACCTATTCTCACTACTCACTAGCCATGCTACTTACAACACAAATAAGAATCAATTAACAGTGAAACACTTACTGTGGTCTTGTCGAAAAATGTTGTTTGCGCATTCACAAAAGATCAGACATCAGTACTCTTTAGTGCAAATATTTCAGAGCTACCCCACACAGTTTCGCCAGCGAGTATACGAACGTATCATGACTTGGAATGCTATTTTCGTTAGCGTTGGGCTTCAATTTGAGTGTCCTCAACTTCTACCATTTATCTCAAGCAAACGAATGACAATTTCTGTACGTATGTAAATACTGTAATCCAGATCGCGCCCCAAACATTCATGCGAGCAGTAGCTAGCAATGGACTTTTGCCTTTGCCCACCATCCTCGTCGTATTCTAGGTATCAGGTGCATACGTAAGCGCAGCAATGCGTGGACTCGACGGCCATACCAGCCAATCAGCTGCGATTAGATTAGATAAGGTGGCCGGAGCGGACCGGGTATGGTTCAGAGGCCGCACACGCCGGTCGGTCAAGGTGTGGTGACAACAGCGCAGCCCAGCCCGCACCACTTCGGCCGGACAGGGCCCTCCGAGCGGACCGCGTCCAACCCGGAGGCCGGGTCCAGCTGTGGAGAGCCGTCCCCCGCTGAGGAGCCGGCCGCCTCAGGAGCCCCACCTGGCTGCCCCGCTGCCCATCACTGACGGTCTGCCGCGCTCGTGCTGCTGACGGCGTGACCTGAGACACCCCGGCCGAGGGTCACCCGACCGGGTGACGCCGCCGCGCGTGCAGTATGACGCCAGAGACGGTGTCCCGGCGACGGTCGCGCTCCAGCAGCCAGCTGCCGCTGCCCGAGCCGCCGCCGCCGCCGGCGGCGCCGCCCGTCAAGCCAAAGCGCCGCTGGCGCCGCAAAACGACCGGCGAGGGGGTCGTCAACGGACAGACGGACGGCGCACGCCGCGCCAGCGTGAGTACCGACCCTCGTCATCGTCTGATGTGAATACCGACCCTCGTCATCGTCTGATGTGAGTACCGACCCTCGTCATGATCTGACGTGAGTACTGACCCTCGTCATGATCTGATGTGAATACCGACTCTCGTCATGATCTGACGTGAACACCACTATCAGGACAAATAACCCACGCGCACTTGGCTGAATGCCTTGTTGCCAAAAACGTTTAGCCGAATGCTATTTTCCTGAAGTGTCGAATTGACTACATGTTAATGAGTCGAAATGCATCTTCACCAAACTACAACTTGAAGAAATATAGTTTGCTTGCGTGCTAAGTTGTTCAATTTTTTTCACCGAATGGCAGTTATCGATGTGTTCTTTAGTCGAAGGCCGATGGACTGAATGCTCTTCAATCGAATGGTTATGCGCCGAAATATTCCTTGTAGCTAGGGACCCCGTAACAGGGTTCTGGCTGTGAGGTCTTTAAACATTTTAAAGACAGCTTTCATACTGGCCTGTATTGCCGTGTGCGGGGTCCGATTCATCGGAATCAGAACTCCTGGCAACAATCCCCTCCTTCCTCGTAATGCCGGTTATTCCCCCACCATAGGCAGGTGAAAAACAAAGCCCGGTGATACTTCTAAGGTAAAGAGAACTAAATATCTCAGAGAAATGTCTAGATTCGTATTTTATTCCACGAGTTAATACTTCAATATCAAACGAAGTCAATAGCGCAGTGTTTAGCCAGTTTCTAGCGCAGAATACGACATAAAGGCGGCAGCTTTAAACCTATTTGCTCAGTTGGCTCCAAAAATGTAGTTGTTCCGCGGAAAGCACCTGATTCAAAGCGTGTCTCAAGAACGCCTTGCATGAAGTACCACTGGTTGACCGGAATGGTTAAAAATAGACATGATTGTGTTCCATAGGTTTATGGCTATCAGTTGCTTTCTTTACCGCGTCGGCAACTCAACTCGAGGCCAAATAATGTTGGAAGCCTTTCCGTTCCGTATTGCTTAGGTTTTTGTGGAAAGCCGCAGCCAGCGTCCCATGGAAACGTCACTCATGCTTCATAAATTGCCAAACTCCATCTTGCTGCGTTGCTATATGGGTTCCACTGGTCACTCCATGACCTCAGCAATATTAGCTGACGCTCCACCAGTCTCCTTACCACCAAAGCATGAAGTGACTTATGGATGATCCCTTATGACCGTGATTTCATAGAGTATCAGTAGATGCATTCAGACTTCAATAAAAAAAATAGGGTCCTTAGTCATTCGACGAATTTGCATTAGTCTTAACCGCCGCTCGTCAGATTAGGATGTCGACAGAAGGCGTGACGTCATTTTCCATTTCGCCTTTTACCGCCTTTAAGTGACTTTACAAGAGCATTTGGGTTTACACATTTAATGAAATAGCTATCAGTTCGGCGCCATTCGGTCATTTCCCCTGGAGTCAATAATAAGATCATGTGTAAACCGGTAAGCATGGAATGCTGTGGATCCCATGCAGGCGAGGCAAGCCTTTGTTTGGGGGCTTTATGCATGCATATTCATACGATTACCACCATTTAGGCTCCATTCATGCCTCTCGATAACAATCAGGCCACTCTGAATACGGATCCGCCGGTCTTCGACCGATCTCAAGCGATCTCCAGTGACCGATCTTAGACCGATCTCCGACCGAGCAGGCCTTCGGCATGGACGCTCAATGTCAAACAAGCGTTGACCCGACGAGGAGTTGGAAAGCTCGACATGCTCGTACTAATCCGTCCCAGCACGGGCGGCCCCAGCCGCCGTACCGTATTCACCGACGTGCCCCGGCTGCACCACGGCCGGGCGGCACTGCATCGGTCCGTCACGTGCTGCCGACAGGCGTTCTTTGGATCTGGCGGCGCGGCGGACGAGGAGCCGGCCACCGGCAGCGACGCCCCGGACGCGTCGTCCGACGGCACCGGCGCCGGCCAGACGCACGACTCGGCCGACGATGGAGTCGACAGCAGTGACGACCGGCCAGGTGGGTCAGCGCCGGCGCGCTCCCTGTACTGGCGCCACCCCGGACAGGCGGCTCCAGCCCAAATTATTCATCCTTTGTTTGCCCTAAGTACGCTGACAATGCTTTGGCACAGCACTACATCTCTTTTTGTTCTTTGAGAATGTACCTCTATGGCTGCAGAGAATGTAGCTACAGAGAATGTAGCTCTATCCTGTGACAGCTGACGCTGCCATAGTGGATACGCTTCGGTCCCTCTGTTTTGCTTGGCATTTAGAAGCATTTCACAAGTTTTCAAAGACAAAATCACGACGAATACCACCACTAGAAACAATTGATAATTGTTCAGTTCCAGCATAGCACTGACATTCTAATTCATTGACAAAACGGACGAAACCACCTGATACGATATTGACAGCTGTTACGTACTAAAGGAACTACACTTGAGCTGTTTAACTCGCGCGATGCGAACCCTGAGGCTTAAAAGGAGCACCTCATCTGGTAAGAATGACGTCAGCACAAGTGAACGTTTGCGATTGGCACAGTGAACGAGGTAATCCATTTACCGCGAACCGCATTCGTTGAAGTCTGAAACGACACCGTCACTTTACGCCACGTGACACGTCTGTTTATTAAAACCACCGTGCGCTCCGAAAACAGGCACTATGCTAAACGGTGAACGGTGAAGCTGAACATGGGGAGAACTTAAAGCCATAGCATGATGCTCGTTGAATTTGCGGGATATTAGCCTCATTCTGGTACGCATCTTTTCCTAAGTGGAGTTTTCCAAGCTTTCATAGCATCTGCTGCACACATATTTCGACCAATAGTGCATAGCAAATATTACATACCACATCCGTTGAAAAAGCACAGCAAATGAAAACTGTGAAATGGACTACAGCGGCCGACCGCACCTGTTGACAGCTCCATGCTCCGAGCCCATAGCGCCGACTGACATGAAACCTTTACCATTCGATGCCGCTTGCCCGATAACCTATCCTGTTCAGAGCATGATGACCTTGGGTCAGGTCAAAGGCCACCAAAAATTTACAAAAAACAAAAGTAGAGTTGCAGGTAGCACCATGCTCCATGCCTGTGGCACCGATCACCACGAAATATCCACCAATTGACTGCGCCATTATCGATATCTTATTCTTCCCAGAGCATGGTAAACTTGAAGTCAGATTAAAGGTCAACAAAAAAGACCGGCCAAAACCATCGAAATTAGCTGCAGACAGCCCCATGCTCCGAGCCTATGGCACCGATTATCATGGAGACTTCACCAATCGATACGCCATAGTAAATATCCCATCCTCCGAATGGTACAGGCTTCTTGTCAATCGGTGCCATAGCCTCGGAGGATGGGGCTTCCTGCAGGCAATTTTGATGGTTTTGGCCGTTGACGTTGACGTTTCAACTGGCTCAAGGTCACCATGTTTTGGAAAGGGTAGGATATCGGCCATGGCGCATCAATCGGTGAAGGTTTCGTGGTGAGCGATGCCATGGGCCCACAGCATGACGTCATCTGCAACCCTATTTTTGCGGATTTTTTGGCTGCATTTGGTGACTTTTTATCTGACCCAAGGTCACCATGTTCTCGAGTGGATAGATTATCGATCAAGTGGCATTGAATGGTCAAGGTTTTTTCACAGTCCTGCCATCCTTAAGACCCAAGCCCATCTAGTTTTTTAGCTACACGCCCGCAGAAACTGGGGAGAGTATTTTGGGGAGAGTATTCAAGGTCACCTCGGCATTCATGACGTCATAATAACGCTATTTAAATCCTGTCATCCCATAAGCCACGCGACGATGAAGTCTGACAAAAATATGATGGTTGATTCGTTCATATCAGGCTTCGCAAACACGATTTCCAGATGCAACGAAGCGCCAATTGGCTCTCGATTAAAGATGTGCAAAGCACGATAACCTTTTCGAACAATGGTGTTTTGAAGAGCATATCTGCTGAACAGAGACATTGTGTCGCCTCAAGTAATCCTTTCTACTTAAAGATGTACCAATAGTTATAAGTGAGCTTATTTCATAGATAAGACAGTAGTATTAGCCTTATTCCTTAGGAAAAAAACAAGAAAATAGAGGTATAGTTAGGTTGATATCTCGGCAACATGCCTTTCTCGAAACAATAGCGGAAGTGAATTCGAAATTGCCTGCCGATGATCCTACTCGATTTTTCAGGTTTTTTTTAAAGAGCAACCCACGGTTTTTACAGGACACCAACATTCAGGGGATTAAGCAAAGAGCGATTGCCAGCCATTACCAGGATACAGTGCCTATCTAAGAATTGGAATGCCCGGACATACGTGTACATGCGAATGAATTCAAGCAAATAGGCGTCACACATCACGCTTCATCCAAACATGCAAGCGAGCTGAAGTAAACAGGCATCACACATCGCGCACCAATTATGCATGCAAACGATTTCAATTGAACAGGTATCGCACATCACGCGACAAATCATGCTCTTTTGAATACCGTCATGTCTGTGTGGATAAGGTGTATGTCTGACCGTGTGTAATGTGTATGTGTGTGTCTTTACGGTTTCTGTTCGTGTATGTATCGTACATTTACTGTTTTCAAGCCAGGCCTCCCCACACGACCGCCTTGAACCTAGGCATCCGTTCTAAGTAGAAGGCCGGAGTGTGGAGCTAGTTTGAGGTATGTAACTTTTTGACCTTAAGAAGGTCATGATGACCAAAAACTTACGAGATCGCTTTGATGTTTGAATTTCAATTAAGCGTTTAGAATTACGTCAGGCAGTACGATTCTAAAAGCAACTATTGATCCGGTATATTTGAGGTCAGGGATCAACACTGATCTTTGAGAAGTCCACGGAAGATGTTTGTTGCGGTTCCTGTCATCCAGAAATTTAGAATCCGTGTCAGAATCTACCTCTTAAAGAAAAATATCCAGTAAAAGGCAGGTTGTTTTGATTCGGTTTTGACCTTTATACCTGACCATAGGTCAATGGGCATTTTTGTACTTCTGAGTTGAGTTGACTTATGCCCTAATAAACTATCTCAGAGATGCATAGCTTTATCTAGCGCACCGTTATCGCATCAGATTGCACTATTTCCCAGAAGATGCCTTCCCTGACAGACACAACCTGATTTGACTTGTCGTTGGTCAGCAACTTTACAGGGTGCATCGATCTCGTACCCAAAAATTGCTCTTCGATTGCCTACAGCGATGCAATGCCTAGCGTGGCTTCGCCGCGTAGTTCCAAAATTATTTTGTAAAACCTGCAGTGAAATTGATCTCCCACCCGGATACGTGTTTCCGCACTTGCGGGTGGAGGGGATGGGCTTGGGTATCCCCACCAACCTACTCTGCTCAAGTATCGTTGAGACTGATACGTACAGGCCAAAGGTTGTGTTATTTCTCTACTCTACAGAAATAAGATGTTGAACAAAGCAAAACCAGCCCGGGCACAAAGAGCCAACTCTGGACATCATCAAAAACATCAAACACCAAAACAAGAACTTGGCGAAGTTAGTTCACCCTTTCACTGTCCGCCGGTCGCTTCTAGCAACGAATGAGGCCTCGCAGCGCCGCGAAGCTACCATTGCATTCAGACACATGCTGTGCACACACGCGGAGAACATCTGCAATATCGCTCTTAGAAAAGGGTTTGTCGACGAACGAGCCCCTTGTTTAGCTTGACCTTGAACACACACCACGTACCCATCACCTACTCACCGGGGGCCAGCTCCGCCGCTTGCAGACGGCCGCGGGATGGACAGGGAATGCAGCTCAGTCACAGCACCGCCAACATGGCGCCCGGCTGTGATTTCAGGACGCATTCGAGACATTGGGAAAACTCCGTGTTCAGCAGATGATTGTTGTCGATCTGCCGAGTGCGTGCCCACGAGCAACACTATGCGTGCTGAGTGTATCGTCACACCAGGCTCCGGGTGCCGGGCGCATGCTGTGCAATTGTACCCGATCCTCTCCATGTGCCAGGTTATCTTTCGCTCCGGCCCAGAACGACTCCTACACATTGCCGCAGCATGGCAGCGTGCCGGCCTTGGAGCACAAAAAACCTGTTAATTTTGTTGTCGGTGGCGTGAGCCTGCGCCAGGTAGAACCGTCGCGCATCAAGAGTAGGCTGATAAAATAAATTCATAGCTCGACCTTGTTTGAGCACTTTATGAGCTCGGGATTAGCACGCAAATAGCAACCAATAGCAAGCAGCTACCAACCAATAGAAGCGCGATTCCGCAAGCCAGCATTGACGATTTTCTCAACTTTATATTCAACCTGTCATGACCTGTGGTATATTTGAACCTCGTTTCGTAGTTAATCTCACTATTCTTGGCATGATTGAGTACTTCTGCGCTCGCGTCCTGCTTAAAAGCGACTGTTCCACGTTTGTATGGGGATTTGAACTGAAATAGCTATCTTAAAGATCACTCGGTGCAGTTAACAGCCCTGCCATTCTTGAGACCTAACCCCATCTAGTTTCTGAGCTTTATAACCGCGAAGATGTGCAGATCGTTTCGGGGGGGGGGGGACTATTTAAAGGTTGCTCGGGCATCCATGACACCATAATAACGTCATGCAAATCCTGCCATCCTATGACCTATGATGCCTACTTTTATTACTGTTTTTTATATGCAACCTATGATTACCTATTATGCGGCGACCAATGCCGAAAAGATAGAAAGAAACCATCCAAGAAAAATATAATTGTTGAGTCGTTCATGCCTGGCTCTCGTGAGTACAATTTCCAAATATAATGGCCGTCAATTGGCTCTCAATGAATTAGTGCATGATATGATGACGTAATCGAACAGTGACGTATTGAAGAGCATATTTATTTTACAGAGAAATTGTGTTGTCTAGAGCAGCCTTTTCCACTTAACAAATATATCAATAGTTATAAGTGAGCTTAATTCACCACATCTGACGCTTCCTTCAATGTTTTCAAATATGGAACATTCTCTTAAACACACGTTCGGTTGTAGATCCAGTTGACCCCTGGAACATTTATCCTAAATAATTTCCGACCTACGCGGGGCGTGGTCACTGCCAAGCTTTACGTAAGTGTTAGCAATAGAAAAACAGAAGGTAAGATAAAGCCAGGTGCCAAGAAGAGATAAAGAGTAAGATAAAGTCAGCCAACATTTCAGACGTACCTTGTAAGATCACCGAACTATGGCGGGTAAGTCAGCCCATGGCTGTCCGTGAAGGCGCTCCCTAGGAGATCGTTCAACCTGATACGACAACGGAATATTATACGAAGACATACATATCTGAGACAGATTCCTAGACAACTAACCGATCATATTTAGAATAAAGACTAATTCCATTCACCTTGGGTCAGGCTTGAAGGTCAAACCAAGGTCAAAAGCAACTTGCTTTCCACTGGAGAACGTGCTCTGTAGAGTAATATTATATGCTTATTTTGGGTTTATTGATGACAGGACCGTCAACATACATCTCATTTGGACTATTTGAAAGGTCAAAAAAGATCACTGGCCTCAAATGGCCCCAACCAAACCGTTGACTTAGTAACATTCCGTGTAGCGGAATCCTTCATGTTAGCTCAATTCATTTTTGTTTATATCTGGTAGGTTTTTGGTAACCATGAGCTTATAAAAGTCAAATAAGGTCACTGACCTCAAAAGAGCACCAGTTACCTTTTGCATAGAACGGTAAAGGCGGTTGCATCAGGTCTGGACACACCCCCGACCCTGATTTGGAGTTTGACTTTGATCTTATTTAACCCGAAGATCATAGCCTAGCGATCGCAAAATTTGGCACAAGTGAGTTCAGATACTGGCCAATCTACCTCGCCACTTTGGCTTTGCTAGCTCCCCGATTGTTCATATTTTAGGGGTCCCTTGATTGCTTGTCGATCATTTGACCACGGACACTTGTCGCTGTCTTCGAGGTCAGACTTTTCTATTGTGATCACTAGCCAACATATCTTTCGACTGGTGACCTTAGTCGACGCTAAACCATTGGCTATGACTGCCATGATCCGTCATTGAATATATCATATCCGACATTGTTCTCTGAAAACTCCGTACCTGTAGCATTACTGGGAGCTGAGAAAACAGCGGTGACATATTTGGCCCATCACTGCCCAGGCCGTATCCGTCCTCACATGCCTGTCAGGGCCCACGTTAAAAAGTACGCAAACGTAGTTTCCTTACATGAAACTGTTTCATGCTTATTATTTTCATGCGGTAACCTATTCTTCTGTCGTGAGTCACACGCCGTCACATGTTCGGCCCAGACGACTCTCTTGACGTCTGTCTGACGCTGACTGACCCGTGACCTGGCACCGCCGGCAGCTGTCGGTCGGGTGTATGATCGAGAGCCAAACGTCTGTCTGACGCCATCTGATCCATGATCTTGCACTGCCCGCAGCGGCCGGTCAGCTGTGTGACCGACAGCTAGACATCTGTCTGACGCCGTCTGACCCGTGACCTTGCACTACCCACAGCGGCCGGCCAGGTGTGTGATGGCCAGGAGCACAACGGACGCCACGCCATCTCGCTGGAGGTGCCGCTGCACGTCGATCCAGCTGTTCACGCTCATGTTTACCAACAGCGGCTTCGTGCAGGCTTTCTACCGCAAGCTCAAATATTACGGTGAGTGGTGGCCCGCGCAGGTCAGGACAGCAGGTCGCCCCGGCTGAGCTGAGTGGGCCTGCAACTGGGGTCACAGGCGCACTGCTGTCTGCACAGTTAACCAACCACGAGCCGTGGACAGTCTCGTGCGACCAGGCGTGCTCTCTGGCCGCGGTTAGATGACAGTGGCGGTGGCGCCGGTCATGCCTGATGTCGCTTGGCCCTGTGTCTGGTTACCACTTGCGACAGAACTGTCCTGCGCCCACGGCGGGCCGTCGTTGGCGCAGGCTCGTGTGCCATGGCTGATCGTGGCCGGCAGATGTGGCGTTCCCAGACTGGGAGGAAGGCGAAGACGGCGCCAAGACGCGCTGTATACGCTTCCTGCTGGACGTCATGGGCAAGACGTCCACGACCACCGTCACCGAGGAGCAGGTCAGGTCGGCTGGAATTGTCCGCAACACACCGGGAGCATGGCGTGCGCCCGGGAGTGACCACGCTGCGTCCAGCGCTGTCCATCGGCAGACAGGTTGACCTGATCTGATCTGACCTGATCCGATCTGATCCGATCTAATCTACCAGCTACCTGGCACCAGGATCCCAGAATCAAGTTGCATCACATACGTTGTCCAAAATTGAAGCTGTTCTCTCTGACTTCACAAGCTTTTGCCGTTTATTTCTATTGTTGATGACCAATCGTACGGCTTTAACATTCCAAGCTAAGTTATCTTCTCTGCGGAATAAGAGACAGTAAAGTAAACCGTGACGCATTGCGATGTCAAGGATCAGCAGCGCGTGTGATGCGCTTGGAAGGTGTAGCCGACTCCACACGTGCGCGCACAACCCCACGATGTCTGCATCGGTCTGCAGTCCCAGTGCTGTTGTTGATGACTGCCGTGGATATGCGCTCTGCCACAAGACTGGCTGGCTACACTGTGCTGCCGTTCACACCAGCCGTCCCGTCCCGTCGCACTGCTGCCGCCCACATCGGGTGGATGATCCGTCGCGGTACGCTGCTCCGTTTACGGCAGCTGACTGACCCGTCGCGCTGTGCCGCCGTCCAGACGATGTCGCCTATCAGCCGGCCCGGCAGTCACTACGTCGTCAACTCGGAGGTCAGCAGTGCAGGCGTGCCCATGGCTGACGTGTTCTACAACACCAAACACTACTGCATCCGCAAGGTGTCTAACAACAAGACGCAGCTGGACGCCTGGACCAAGACTAAGTTCAGAAAGTTCACTGTTTTCAAAGGTGCTGCCCCGCCCCTGCTTCGGCCTGTCACACTGGACCGGCGGCAGGGCGCCCCGACGGCCCCACGCCAAAGGTCATGGGCGAAGCCTATGCCACACGAACTGAACCTCCCTTTTCTCTGCATGCTTGTATAGTTGATATATTCAACAGATTTTGATCTTTTTCGTCACTTTTACGGTTCTTAGCATTGTCTTTATGACTTGCATAACGTCAATAACGTAGTGGGCATGCATACCATTTTCCTTATCTTTCAATAATTAGAATGCATAAGCACACAGTGTAAGGACAGAACATACATAATTAGAGAATGATAAGATAATAATAAGATAGTGATAATGATAAGATGGATCAGCGACAGCCGGCCGGCCTCCGGTGCAGCCCTGCCGCATCAGCTGACCACGTCTGGCACCTGCCGTCGACAGCCTTCCTGGAGAAGACGGCCAACGACGGCATGGATGACCACCACAGCGTGCTGAAGCAGTCGCTGCTGGAGTGGACGAGCGGCACCGGCCGGCGGCCGAAGAAGCGACGCGGCGGCCGCGGCGGCTCCGAGGCGGCCGCCGGCGCCCCTGCCAACGCCGCCAGCTCCGGTGGGCGACTGACCCGGGCCGCGGCGGCCAGGCGGGGAGCCATCAGCAAACTGGGCCTCTCCTGTGGCGCGGGGCTCGCGCTGACCCATGCACCGCCTGTGCTGATATGGGCATATATTGCCATTGATACTGAATAGTGCTGTTTATCGGACTGCCAGATGGTGCCCCGAGTAAACAATAAGGGGGAAAGCGAACCGCGGCAGCTCATTCCCTTCCCATGGCGTGGAGGCGAACAATAGCTGCAGTACACCGAACAGATTACTAATGCATTGCGCCCAGCGCCGGACTACGTTAGATAACGAAGACATTTAAAGCAGACCCTGTTTGCTCGCGTGATATCTCTCATTCTGAGAGATATCCCAGTGAAAGGTACTCGGGATCTCAGTCGGGAGGATATCAAACCCCAGCCATTATCCCCTCACTGCAGCCCCACCCGGGCGTCGGTGTCCCAAACTGCGCAGTTGGAGGAAGCCTTCCCCTCCGCTCAGTCCTTCCGTGTGCTGCAGGTGGCGGCTCGGCGGTCCAACAGCCGTCGGCCGGCTCCGGTCGTCTTCTGCCGCTAGTGCTGGGCCTCACCCTGCTGCTGCTCGCTCTCAACGGCTATCTGTACGTCCGCATGGCCCGTCTGGGCCGCCAGACCGAGGCGCTCCTGCACAGCAGCCTGCTGGCCGCCGAGTTCAAGTAGGCACGGGCCGAGCTTGGGGGGAGGGGGGGGGGGAGAGTGCCGGCTCTCTGGGGGTGGAGCTCGGTGGGGTGCCAACTCTCTGAGTGTGGAGCTCGGTGGGGTGCCGGCTCTCTGAGGGCGGAGGCCGTTGGGGTGCCTGCTCGGTGGCAGACGTGTCCTCGGCTCTCTGAGGACATCACTGACAACGGGACAATGTGACGGTTGACACGTGTAGTCAGTGTCCGTCTTGGTTAAGCTCATGTGGGCACAGCACCGCAGCTGCAACGCTGTCTTTTGTAAATCGAACTGCCGCATGGACACTGACTTGGCTGTGATAACCGAGGCTAAAAGAGCAGTATACGCTGTTGTGTTGGTCTGTGTGCACCAGTGGCACACGCAGTTACATGAACCGCCCCGCAATCGTCACTACCGGTACCCCAGCCCACCTACTCCGATCCTGCACGGCCACTCCGAAGTGGCCTCATAGAGGCTTTCGTCGGCATCTGAGCGCGACGCTCGTAGGGCGGCCCCGAAGTGGCTCAAGCGGCTGTCGTCGATAACTGACGGCCCTTCCCCTGCCAGTGCGGCTCCAGAGTGGCTGGAGCGGCTGTAGCCGACAACTGACGGTCCCTCCCTCGCCAATGCGGCTCCGGAGTGGCTGGGGCGACTGTCGTCGATAACAGACGGCCCTTCCCCTGCCAGTGCGGCTCCAGAGTGGCTGGAGCGGCTGTCGTCCGTAACTGATAGCCCCTCCCTCGCCAGCACGTCTCCAGAGTGGCTGGAGCGCCTGTGGTCAATAACTGACGGCCCCTCCCTTGCCAGTGTGGCTCCAGAGTGACTGGAGCGGCTGTCGTCCGTAACTGACGGCCCCTCCTCGCCAATGTGGCTCCGGAGTGGCTGGAGCGGCTGTAGCCCGTAACTGACGGCTCCTCCCTCACCAGTGCGGCTCCAGAGTGGCTGGAGCGGCTGTAGCCGATAACTGACGGCCCCTCCCTCGCCAGTGCGGCTCCAGGGTGGCTGGAGCGGCTTTCGTCCGTAACTGACGGCCCCTCCTCGCCAGTGCGGCTCCAGAGTGGCTGGAGCGGCTGTCGTCCGTAACCGACGGCTCCTCCCTCACCAGTGCGGCTCCAGAGTGGCTGGAGCGGCTTTCATCCGTAAATGACGGCCCCTCCCCGCCAGTGCGGCTCCGGAGTGGCTCGAGCGGCTTTCGTCCGTAACTGACAGCCCCTCCCCTGCCAGTGCGGCTCCGGAATGGCTGGAGCGGCTGTAGCCGATGACTGACGGCCCCTCCTCGCCAATGCGGCTCCGGAGTGGCTGGAGCGGCTGCAGCCGGTAACTGACGGCTCCTCCCTCACCAGTGCAGCTCCAGAGTGGCTGGAGTGGCTTTCGTCCGTAACTGACGGCCCCTCCCTCGCCAGTGCGGCTCTAGAGTGGCTGGAGCGGCTGTCGTCCGTAACTGACGGCCCCTCACTCGCCGGTGCGGCTCCAGAGTGGCTGGAGCGGCTGTCGTCCGTAACTGACGGCCCCTCACTCGCCAGTGCGGCTCCAGAGTGGATGGAACGGCTGTCGTCGGTGCAGCAGCAGGAGGAGGCTCGACAGGCCGAGCTGGCCCGCTGGCACCAGGCGGTTCAGGCTGCCGCCGAGCTGGTCCGCAAGACAGAGTCAGCTCTCACACAGCTGCAGGTGGGGGCTCACCCGGCTCCGACGGCCGCCAGTGCGGGCTGCACCGCCGTCGACAATGGGGCGCCCACCTTTAATCCAACGTCACGAGTCGTGTTAAATACTAATGCGTGTGCTCACCCGTGGTCTCGTGCGATGAAGCCTTCTGTCAAGTGTCTAGATATCCCTCGTAGAGACCTGTTACGGCAATAATTTGGCTGCGGCCGATCCGTGCACGCCTTGCTCTGCTCGACGGGTAATGGCTCGGCCCCCTGTTGCTGGCCCAGTCAATTACCTGACCTTTCTCAGGCGTAAGGCATGCTGTTGTTCTACGTGCAAGCATTATACAGAAATCAACGCCCATACACACTCATGGCCACGGATCACGCATGCCCACCGTTGGCGTGCAGCCATATGCACCAGCTATTCGGGTTAGCTTGTCTATTGGCTGAGGCGTCCGGCACGTGCCGGTTGTTCAGAGGTGCAACGGCGGTGGTGCCCACACGTAAGCTCCGGTCGGCACGTGCCGGCGGTTCAGAGGTGCAGCGGCGGTGGTGCCCACACGGCAGCTCCGGTCGGCAGCTGACCGTGTCTGACGTGGTGGGTTGTGTGAGCGCCGAGGCCGGTGGCCGACAGTGACCAGCCTCCGTCATCCGTCGGCAGGGTACAATGGACCCGGCCAAGCCGGGCTCGTCCGACATCGCCCAGTCGCCTGCCGTCACCGCGCCGTCAACACGCCTGGGAACATAGCACCGCAGACCCTGCACCGGCGCGAGCGGGCCCGTCCAGCTGGGCAGCACGGAGGGGTCGACCGACACCCTCTAGACAGCAGACTGACACCCTCTGGACAGCAGACGAACAGTCTCTGAACAGCACACGAACAGTCTCTGAGTAGCAGGCCAACGTCCTCTGAAAAAAGACCACCGGACGCGAAACGGCGGACCGACACCCTCCGAACAACAGACCGAATTTCTCTACGCATCCCACTAACGCCCTCCGAACGGCGGACCTACGGGGCCCCAACCAGCGGACCAACACCCTCTGTAACGGGGCACCTGCGGCCCTCAACCAGCGGACCGACACCCTCCGTAACGGCGGATCGGTACACCTCAGAACACCGCCTGGGAGCGGGGCCCACCGATCCCGCGAGAGAACCCCCATCTCATCCACAGCTGTGACGTCAGAGTGACGTGATCGTGGCTACGGACGACGCCCCGGAGCCAGAGAGCCCAGCTGTCCCGTGGTCACTCTCTGCCCGTGGAGTGCCGGTGCACACTCTTTGATTCGTCGGTGGACGGCCAGCCTCGGCCGCTAGTATATCATGTGATAGGTATGTGGTACTGCTGACTGATCTGCTGGTCCAGCCGGTGGACTATCCACCCAAGATAGTGTTTCCGTGATGAGTCAATAAACCTGTCCACTAACCAGTACACTGAAGACAGTGACAGACGGGGCTGAGAACAGACGAGCCCAGCGCCAGCGGGCCAAATCATCGCCGAACAGCAATATTTACCACGCCTCCCACCCAGGTCTCGTGAGTCCATCGCAACCAATGACATCGCTGGCTGTTACCCCAGTGGCTTGGTATCCCCTGCGTCGCGCGTGGCCGTTATCTGTATGGGAGGCAAGATGAGGGTGGAGTGGTCAAGCAGATTCGTTATCACCTGCGACGCGTCAATAGCCCTGATGCGCTGGATGAAAAAAGCGCAACTCAATGATACGGCACCGAAATGCGCCATGAACCGTCCGTAACCAAGTTCGCTGCATTGTGGATTGATATCAGTAGGCCGAACACAGGCCAGAAAATGCGTTGCTACGCAAGCAGGCACGTTGGCGCAACCCGTAAGTGGAGGGACGAGGGGGTACATCGGAGCTGACCTCGATGGGCGACGTCGATTGTAACGTCGTCAAGTGGCAAAGTGACGTCGAGTGGTCGGTATGAGGCACGCCAGTTTGGCAGGCACTCCGGCTATCGGGGACTAAAGAACATTCATTCATTTGGCTTGTGCCAACGTAGTGCTTACTATAAAATAGGCCAGTGGTTATATCGGTTTGGAATCAATACAGTATACTTTTAATACATATTCAATATCTATTTAATTTTGCATACCCCATACCTAATTTTTTCAAACTTTTCCCAAAATTTTCATGCGTGCAGCGAAGAAAGTATAACATCGTTCGCTCGCTTCAAACCATATGACCGTAAATGCGTATAAGGTCCTAGATCCCTTCGTTTTCTCGCATGTTGCTGTGTAAGAAGGCACTTTTGAGGAGCAGAGAGCGTCGCGAAGCTGCAATGACGAAGGGGGTATCTTACATTCGTATGTTTTATTATCTGGATTGGCAAGGACGGAAACATCCTGCCATGAAAGCAGGACATGTGCAAGCTATCTAAATCAAATTGTACGTTATTTTTACATCCATAAGCCTTATAACCTGCATTACAAAGGACTGGAACGCCCCGTCAGAAAATTAAGGTACGTCCTCCCAAGCTACGAAAATTAATCTCCCTGGCATTTAGAAATCACCAGATTGCGCATCATGCATTGCGGCCTCGTTCGCTTTCGTAGCCGTGCGAGGCCATCATACGCTCACAGACACATGGGAAGAGGACCGGTGACTGGTGAGCCCACCACACTCTGTCCTCGCCTGGCGCCGACACCTGCTCCTCACCGCTGGCCGACACTGGCGCCATCTGCCCTTCACCCGCGCGGCCGGCGCCTGGTGCGGCCGCCTCGCTCACCGAGGTCACCGCTGTCACGCCATGCCACAATGGATCACGCAGCCCATGGCTGCGCTCCCATTGGCAAAGTACCTACCTCACTTGCTAGCTATGATGTTGCAAGTACCTAAATCATACACAAGCAACTAGACTCCAAGCCAAAAGAACTGCTGTGACACACTTACCTATGGTGTTGTAGGCTGCAACTTGTGGACAGGGCTTGATAATAGGGAACTTGGTAATAAGGAATGCCACCCTGGTTCACAGAGGTGATGGAGAACATGGCACCTGCGGTAAGCCCATGGATGGTGGCTTCACATGTGGTGTGTATGCCTCACAGCAATGCTCCTGCTTAACAACAAATTGTTATTCCTTCCCATGAACTGCATGATACAATTCCAGATGCATGTTGAGCTTCATTCACACTGACATTCATATTCAGGACAAAAACATAATACCAGCATCATTTCATTATTCAGCCAGCACCCAAGCATCTCAGACATGACAATAATTCATGCAATTGAGATGATCAACAGGTTGCACCACCAACCTCATCACCCATGATCATCCATCTAAGAGGCAGGTATAACTATCCATGTTGCAGCAGAATTCAGCTTGACTCTGCTGGTTGGGGCTTGCTCTTTAGCTTCTCCTCAGGCAAGACCCCTGTGCTTCATCTCATTCAGAAGTGTGGAGCCCATCTGGGCTGGACTCTTGGTTACCTTCACTCCAGCCCCCTGCAGGGCCTTGATCTTGTCCTCAGCACCTCCCTTCCCACCAGAGATGATGGCTCCAGCATGGCCCATTCTTCTGCCAGGAGGTGCAGTCAGACCAGCAATGAAGGAGACCACTGGTTTGGCATCTGGGCCAGAGTTGTGCTCCTGTAAGAACTCAGCGGCCTTCTCCTCGGCTTGACCTCCGATCTCACCAATCATGACAATACCCTTGGTATCTGGATCATTCAGGAACACTTCCAAGCAGTCAATGAAGTTGGTTCCATTGAATGGGTCCCCACCAATGCCCACACAGAGGGTCTGGCCCAAGCCCACCAGAGTTGTTTGATGGACAGCTTCATAGGTCAATGTGCCAGAGCGTGACACAATGCCAATGCTTCCTTGCTGGTGGATGTGGCCCGGCATAATTCCAATCTTGCAACGGTTTGGTGCAATGATGCCAGGGCAGTTAGGGCCAATCAGCCGGGACTTGTCCTGCCTTGTGAGCCTGTGCTTCACTTTCACCATATCCTGCTGAGGAATCCCTTCAGTGATGCACACAATCAAGGGCACCTCAGCATCCAGTGCCTCAAAGATGGCAGCAGCAGCAAAAGGTGGTGGAACATATATGACTGATGCATCTGCCTTTGTCTCCTTCATGGCATCTGCAACTGAATCAAAGACAGGCAGTCCAAGATGCTTGTTTCCTCCTTTCCCAGGGGACACACCACCAACAACCAGTGTCCCATACTCAATAGCCTGGCGACTGTGGAAGGTACCTTGTTTGCCTGTGAAACCTTGGCAGATAACCTTCGTTTTTTCGGTAAGCTTCAGGTTAGGTCTTGTTGCATCGTAAGACACGAGGCGAACCGTAGGATTGCCCAGCTGACGGGTCACAACCCTCCCCAGGTTTCCAAGACACGCCGTCATTGCACGAGTTTGCACTGCGATCTCTTCAAAGAAACCACTGGCCTATGTGAAATGTCCCTGGAGAAACCAGGATCTGCCGCCACACCACAGACACTGCCGTCGCAGCCCTGTAGAAAAGGGGAGAGCGCTGACACCACAGCCTGTAAAGATGGACGATGTGGAAGATAGTTGTAAAAGGCGAGCCATAATTGACGCGAGAAAATGATCAGCTGACTGAGATACGACGGTGAGCGTCACTAAATTCTACGTGATAAGCAAGCATACTGTGTGTAAGCCAAGCCTCACGGAAAGCTAGGCATGGCAAACTTGCTTTTCATGCTTTTGAGAACGAAGCTAGATTAACCCCTGAATCCTTTACAGATGTGGCTAGTTTCGCGTACGTTAAAAGTATTTCTTTTCATAACAACGGCAGGACATAGTATCACTGACGTACCTGGCCCACACGAAAGCTGTTGCAGCTAGCGCTCGCGGCAGTGTTCGCGGGCAAGTGCGTATGCGCGATGTGGCCATGGGTTGCGCTCTGGATGACAGTACAGTTCAAAATGCTCGCGAAAACATCAATTTCATATTGTCGCTGGCACATAAATTTATTGAATGGTGTATAAAAACATCGCTCATCCACCGGTGTTGATTCGCATTCTTTTGTGAGCGCCCTGGCCTCCCCCCCCCCCTCCAACGTTGATTTGCGCCCCCCCCCCCCCCAATGTTGGTTTGGCCCCATAATATTTTTGACTGAAATACTAAAAAAAACGTGGGTAAAAGATGATCATAACACAAAGACTGTCTTCTTTGATCTTTCTGCGTAGTGGCGTCTGCGTACTCTCATACAAAGTCATGGTTGCTCTCACCTCAAGATACAAGTCGTAACAGCTGAGCGGATAAACGATGCAAGAAACTTCACATATCTAGCGCCACAAGACACGCAAGAATTTGTGAGGCTAAAGTGAAAAGCTCAGGAATATGAGGATGACTTAAGACCTTCATGACTAACCCCGTCCCCGGCCCACAGCCAAAATGCGTGCCACCCCCCAAGACCGCCATAGAAGAGCGCAACCGGCGTCCTAAGGTGGCCTCTGAGGGCGCCTCCGCGTGCCGGTCAGAAGAGACGTGCGCGCCCGGGGCATGCTCCATGGATTACTGCCAGGGAGCATGCTCCATGGCATGCTCCCTGCATTACTTCTATGCTGCTAAAAAATAAAAAGTATGAATCATACAAAGATCAAAAACATATACTGCGTTTAACAAACAAAAAGTGGGCTAAATCCGGTGAGAAAAAATGGGGTGGGAGGGAAGGTTGTCGTGCCTTTGGTTGTGCCCCCCCCCCCATCATTTACAAAATTGACACCCTTGCGCACAGCTCAATTTACCTTTTCAATTTTCATTTACTACTTCAATTTCCCGCTCGTTGATGTTTGCTTGAATCAATATCTCATAATGCATGTATGTGCCCACTCCCTGCCAATTAAATTAAAACACTTAAACGCACCCCAGTTCGCAAGCACGGCCTGACACCAGAGACCCTTTCGTCCAGTTGCGCACCCCTAAGACAAGACCTCGCCCTAAGCTTCCCATAAGCCCCCTGCCTATCAAGCCCAATGCGTCTTCACAGGTCCACCGCGCGCACGGGCGCTTCGATAGATATCCTGGCGCTAAGTCAATGGCCACGGATGCCTGGCGAACGGTTCCAAAGCATACCATAATCCGCGTGGTGTAACGCCTCTGTGCGAGCAATACCAACACTGCATCACGGGAGGTCCCGCAGAGTGGCAACGGAAACGTAAACAAACATCGAAGCAGTGCGTTAGTGGGCGTGGAGAGGGGAAGATCAGTGTGCAGGCTATGGCTCAGGGGCTTTTTCCTCCTCAGGGGCCACAATGGTAGTTAGGGGAACCAATGCGGCTACCATCTTGGAGGGGGCAACCCGTTGGAATCCGGCCACCGTCGCAGCCGTCAGAGTTCCAAGCGTGACCCAGAGGGGCAACGGTCTTCTCACCACCTCCCACCGGTGTGTGGCAAGGCCGGTGGCAAATTTTCCGATCCACGCGAAATTGCAAAACCTTAAAACCACACCAAGTTAATTCAAGCTCCGAGGCGCACGCGACCTGATGAAACGACTGACCTCAGCGTGGTGGCTCAGCCAGACTTGATAGATAAATCTCGGCACTGAACGTACGACACAAAACTTGTTGAAGGCCTCGCGCCAGTCAACGGCTTATACACGCACAAACACACTTCTAAAAGCTTCTACACGGGATACAAAGTGACCATACTAATCGGCGCACCCTAAAATCCCACTCGTCGCCATGGAAAGTAGATGCACCAGTCATACCTGACACCAACTTGCCGTCCCTTCGGCCAACGGCCTTCTTACACCACTGCATCCACCACCCACATACACCATATTGGTTTCCATGTTGGGTTAGGCTTTACGAAACAAACACCGTAAATAGCACCAATATGAATATATTTGTTAACACGCGCCATTGGCAGCTTGGGGCATATACGGCACAGAGGTACAGTTTTGTCAAGATCTCACGCGAGCCCAAAGTTACGAGGTGCACCACGCGGCGGAAAACCGGCCCGGGACGAAACCAACGGCGCACGTCCGCCGCCCTCGCTCCGCCTCCCCTGCAGCGGAACAACACGGCAGCGGAACGGACTGCGCCCCCCCCCCCCCCCCCCCCCCCCCGCCCAGCGACACCACACCGGCCGCCGGCTCGGCCGTCAGCCGTCACACACCGCAGACGCCGGTGTCGCGCGGAATCCGAGGGTCCATCCGGGGACCTAGCAACAGGCTAAACCACTGCCATCTCCCGGCAACCAGTGCAAGCTCGCGCTGGCGTCCACTCCGCGGCTCGACGGTGAGCGCCAGTCGGCGTTGGCCCCTAGTGGACGCACTGCGGCGAGGCCTCTCGCGCCGCCCACCCACTGGAGGCCACGCTGCCGGCACGTGCCTGAGCCGCGGTGCTCGACGTGCCGGGGCCGGCTGACGTGGCCCGTGACCAGGCGGGGGCCGCTCCGGAGGCCGGGGGGCTCGGCGCAGTGGCTCGTGACCTGACGAGGCCGCTCCGGAGGCCCACGGGCGGGAGGGGGAGGGGGGGGGGGGTCTCCGTGACGGTGCGGTGTCCATAGAGTCGGCTCGGAGCCCAGCCGCGCGCCCATGGCTGTGGTGGAGGGGACGCCCTCTTCACCGCCAGCACCCACGAAAGAACGGTACGGAAGTCCCAGACAGTCAGCAGACTGGGCGGAAGATCGGAGAGGAGGAGCGTCGCGGTCAACAAGATAACGGCACAGTGTTACGTAGATGCTGGGAGCCAGGTCCTGTGGAGACCTCCCATAGTCACGCTAGTCCGCTGAACACTGCCAGCGCCGGCCGCACGGCACCACTACCGGACCTCTGTCTTTCTTGGCCGATGGCTCATTACGCACAACAGCTTACGTCCCCGATCACGAAACACGCCCCCCTCGGGCTGACCCGCGCCTCTTTGGAACAGGGAGTTATGACAGAGCTGAGCGCCACTCCCGACACCGCGCACGTTACCGGCCAGTTTACCACACAACACCGACTCGCCACTATACTCGTGAAGGAACTCGGCACAAACTAGCACTGCCGCGTCGGAGATCAACACACAAAGCACACTAACGCCCACAGTATAAATACCAATCAGTAGAGGAGGCCGAGCACCGAACGCCTGTTTTGTCGACTGCTCTCGTACTCGTGACAGCACGGCGACTGAAGAACAGACCACCAGTCCCACATCCACCATCTGTCCACGTCCGATAGACCCGGACGGGCAAGGCCGTACAACAGTCCACTCTCCGCCCAAGCAATAGCCGACACACTAGACAGCCTGCGCTGGCTGAGAGCGCAGACAGTCCCACACCGTACCCCAGATGGCGGCAGCGTCGATGCCAAATCACTGCGGCATCTACTTTTGGCGTCGTGGCTACGCCGCGCCCCGATTGCTGTCCATGACGAAGTCAGCCCGTGACAGGATTGCCATGAGTGCAGAGGCCGCGGGGTCCCGGGAACGCCCGCGACGAGGCCACACCACCCCGAGATTGTTATCGACAGAGTCCTAACTACCCACCGAGTGATCAATGTCTCCGGAGTATTACTGCGAGGAAGATCTGCAGGAAAGAGCGGCGACAGGCCGACGTCGGCGGCGTGGCCGTGAAAGACCAAACACCGCCCGGCCCGGCCCGAGCCCGCGGGCAGAGCGGCCGTCTCGCTCAAGACCAGCCACACTGGAGCCGGGCTGGGCGGACACCCGGAGCATACCGGCCCCACCCCACAGGCGCAACAGACGCCCGAGACACGCGTCAAACGTGCGCACTAGCGTCAGAGCGACGCGCAGTGCGCGCCCCGACAGGTCGGGAGAACACGTGTGGTGACGGTCGTCCACGGTCGGGCCACTAGGGCCCGGAGCGATTCAGGGAGCCTCGTACAGAGCTCGCAGTCGACGCCATCGGCCCGCCACCGCGGCAGTCGCTGCGGCCGAAACAAAAACGTCTATCAGATATCATCAGAGGGCTCACCGCTCGCTGCCGGCGGCGGCGCGCTCAAAACACAGACCGTCGTCCCAGGCTTTCACAGTGAGCATGAGACCACAGCTGGGCACAGGGGCAGGCTGTCGGCCGGCCTGCCCTTGCCCTCCGCTGCCGGGGCGGGTGGCGCCGGGCCGACACTATGTGGAGCTGACGGAGGAGGCGGCGCTGACGGCCGGCGGCGCCTCGCCCGCCACCTGCTCCTCCAGCGAGTGCTGCAGCGCCGCCGGCGTCAGCCACTCCTTGGGCAGGCAGCGCTCGAGAAACGGCACCATGGCGCTGACCGAGGCCAGCCGGTTCACCCAGGAGGGGATCTCCTTGCCGATCAGCAGCTGGCGGCAGAGGACGCCCCGTCAGCAGCGCGGCGCCACACAGCTGCTCTGCGCATTGGACGACTGACACTGCACAGCTGTGTGGTTCACAGTCTCACACGAGTCACGGGAACAACACATCGGACGGTGTCTGGTGTCTCCAATGTCCGCCCGCCTGCCCGGGTGACGTCATGTCACGTGGCCGGTCCTTGCCGCGGCCGGGCGGGGATTGTGGTGAAGGCACTACACCGCTGTAGCAGCGTCCGTGTGTCGCAACGCATGCCTAAAAACGCAAGCCCAATGCCAGCCCGCAAACAAACTCACAATCCACAGAGACCGCAGGCGCAACACCACATGCCGTTTCGCAACGGCGGTACACGACCCTGCGTTCGAGAATTGCGATAATGGAGCCAACAGACCGACAAGCCGTTCCAAGGACGCTGTGGGGTGAGTAAAAACACGCCGGCGCTCAATGTAATGGAGGCACGCGTTTGGAGGAGTGGAGGAGGCGGACAAACCGCTCGGCGCTAGCGGATACTAGACACCTGAAATTAAGTAGTTGTTACCTGAGACGCAAATAATTAAACACAGCTCTACGGCGAACACTTCCTTCATATTTGTTGACAGAAGTCTCGACCTCCCACTTTTCAAAAATGTGTCATGTGAATGAAAAGACATGCAATACGCGGAAAACACTTTTTCCACCTTTGTCAGCTTTCAAAATTTCACCCATTTCTGATTGCCATGGTGTGATTTGAAAACGAATAGCCACCAAACATGTTTACGTTAATGCCAGCAATCAGAGAACAAACATAATGCAAAAGGGAAAGAAACCGCGCAGAATTCGTGACGGAAATGTCCCACACCCGGTCCAGTGCCCTACGAATCTCCGCAAGGTACTGATAGCCGTGAGTGCAGCCTTGAGCACAGCACAGCCAGCGGCGTCACGCGCCCGCTGCCGCCTACCTGGGCTATGTTGGAAGTGAAGTGGTTGCAGTTCTTGTTGATCAGGTGGTAGCGGTCGCCGCGGAAGTCCTTGCCCAGCTCCTCCACGATGCGGTCCAGGTCCTCGCGCGTGAAGTCCGTCTGCCCCAGGTGGATCGACTGCCTGCGGAGAGACCCGGCATGGCCTGAGCTCTCCGCACGTCTCGGCGGCTACGGGCCCATGGCTGCCCCGGGCGCCACCTGGCGCCTCACACGCAGCCGGCCTCACGTTGGAGATGTGCGCCCAGAGACGGCTCCGACCTCAATGTCGCCGCAATCACCATAGCCCCCACCTACGCGTGCGTGGGATAATCATAATGATATGCACCGGAGAAAGAAAAAAACAGACGAAACATTCGATTCAATATGACTAATTTCGGTGACCACATTAGGTTCAATGTGACTGATTTCGGTGACCAACGAGAGCTGGACCCGCATCCGCTGGAAACCAGCGCAGCGCACACGGCAACTTTTAGTCGCCATATCAAACCAGGTCCGGGGACGAATCTCCACACTGGTCGGCTCCACTGAAGTGTGAAACCCTGACCACGCCCATCCAGAGGTCACAATTTGGAGGTTCAGGTATTGAAAACTTTGCCTTCAAACGCATCGCAAGAGTTCGACCAACAGCCATCTCATCGAGCAGAGCCAAACGACCACTGCTGACAAGACACAACCCACCTCGTCAGCCCAAGTGCGATACACTGTTCCAAGCGCCTCAGGTTATCGACTACGGCGCCACCGTAACGCTGTGCAACTGACTACGACTACTTTGCCTGAGAGCAAAGCGCATTTTCAGACTTAATAACTTCTGTTACAGGTAGACTGATAAGTATAGGAGCATGACCTGAACTATGAACGAGCGGAAATAATGTTTTGATATAGCTTTGGATTACACACGTACGCCAGTAACGTACGCGTGGCATGCCCTCGTGCTAACGCGTAAACTCACGCTTGTCACGATGGGCTAAAAAAAACACATCTGCAAACTTGGTACATTGTTCTGTCGAGGCCCAACACAAGGGCAAGGGTCACGGCAAATCAGCTCCACTGGAGCGCGCCGCACTGGACACGCGGGAGCACATCCACACTCACTTGAACTTGAACTGTTCGCCGAGGTCCTCCGCGTCGCGCGGCTGAATGGTGAACACGCCCGAGAACGGAAACGGGTGGCCTCCGTACGCGTACTCTGCGGCCCCGGAACGCCGGGGTCAGGGGGTCGCCAGGTCAGCAATTCCAGACGGCACGTCCCGCCGCAGCGGCCATTACCGGGATGGGTCGGCAGCGTGTCCAGCAGGTGGCCAGGCGGCAGCCCGCTCTGAGGTGAGGCGGGCCCGCCGCCGGCCCTGACGCAGGCTGGGCTCAGGGAGGCTCGAGGTCACACGTCTGAGACCTCATACGTCTACATTCTCTGTATGCAGGGTGGGCTCAGGCGGGCTCGAGATCACACGTCTGGGACCACGCATGTCTGTGCTCTCTGTACACAGGGTGGGCTCAGGGAGACTCGAGATCACACGTCTGGGACCTCATATGTCTACGTTCTCTGTATGCAGGGTGGGCTTAGGCAGGCTCGCGGTCACACGTCTAGGACCACGCATGTCTGTGCTCTCTGTACACAGGGTGGGCTTAGGGAGACTCGAGGTCACATGTCTGGGATCCTCATATGTCTATGTTCTCTGTATGCAGGGTGGGCTTCGGCAGGCTCGCGGTCACACGTCTAGGACCACGCATGTCTGCGCTCTTTATGCAACCTACCAGATATATCACAAATAGTTGGCTGTGCAACCTACCGAATACATCACAAATAGCTGGAAAGCCCACCAAATACATCACAGATCGCATCACCCGATGCATGCTTGGCAGCAGCTTCAGCAGGCTGCCAGCCTACAGGTATTTTCACATAACCCCCACTTACCCACGCCATAGATTTCAATTCCTGAGTGAAAGACGCCAAGGCCGATGGATGTTGTATAATCATTCATCCAGTACTGCAAAACGAAAGGAGCACTTAAGGCTTTCGCATGCTTTGTTCGTTCCTCACACACAATGTCCCAATGCTTTCAGTTGGAGATCGGTGGTCTACAATAAGTGGATCTTGACATTTACAGAATGGCAAACAACAATACAAGTGTGTCCATCCTGGAGTCCATTTATCAAGGGTCCTGTATAAGTGTGGCTAGCATGGCTGAACATTCTTCACCAGCTACCAGACAGCAACACCATGCCTGGTTAAACACCCAAAATACTGCCGCTTCTTTCGCACACCACAATCCCTCCCCCAATCACCACCATATCAGGTGCCAAGGCCAGCCGCAGGACAACAGGGGTGGGACACGAGGGGGAGACACCGAGGGGGGGGGGGAGGCACAAGGGCGCCCGACCGGCCTGCACTACTTACCATGTCATACACGTTGAGAATGACCGGTTCGCGCGCCATGCCGTCGACCGAGACGAAGTCCTCAGAGAGGTCCTGCTGATAGCCGAGACAGCTGGGGAAGGTCAGCCGACAGAGGTCGCCCAGTCCGCCGGTCATCTACACGACTGGCGCATGCCACGCGACTACCTGCGAGCAGCAGAAGCTACTCAGTTCACTGACCTACTGCTGTCCCCATACCGCACGACCACCCGCCAGCATCAGAAGGCACTCAGCCCACGGACCTATTTCTGTCCCATACAGCATGACTGTACTGCGACAGGACGCACTTAAAAAAAACATTTCTCACATGCTCCCTGTGTCGGAACTATACTCACATGCAACATTTGGTTACTGCATGTGAAAACCATGTAGCAGAAATGATCATTGCCAAGTGTGTCCCATTCCACTCTGGTTTTCAAATGAATGCTGGCCTCCTTTGCTTCATGGCTCAATAGGAGCTGTACAAATGCACAACAAACATCCAGAAGACGACCATCCCAAATGGGTAGCATTCGGCCATTTCAGGAAAACATTCCAGTTTGACACATGCTTTCTGCCTGACTGTTGACATTTCTGTCAGTGGTGCATTGCTAACTTGGTCAAAATATAAGAGGGAGGCACTGATGCCATTCAATGACTACATCAAAATTTCTATTTTTAGTAAGGCTTTGGACGAGCATATGGAGCAGCCAGTCTCCCAAGACATCATCAAGTATTTGTCATGATTCATCATTTTGCTCCTCTAGACTGCATGACCGACATAATCAAATCAAGCAGGCATAATAATTACGCAAATTTGCCTGCTTCTGTGCGATGCTAAAAATAACACAGTGACAAAAACCAAGTTACTACTCTCACCAAGAAGTGAACACCACCTCATTGGAGGGGGACCTACAAACACTAATGGCATTGTGCCATCCTGCAGTGAAGAAAGCAGGAACATCTTGTAATTACCTATATATAATTCACACACTTCAGGAAAACTTACCTTACAGCATCTTACATGGTCAGGAATTACAAGGCCAATGGTCTGTGGTCCATGCTATCTTCAAGCTCTGATTTACATGTTGTTCAATCTAAATACAACTTTGTCATGGTTAAACCAGTCTCAAGTCATACCATCAAATACCTGATAAGTAATGTTCAGCAGACATTACATTGCCAGATGGGATTCCCTCAATGGAATTGTGCAAAAGGCCTGTGGATAACTAATGGCCATTGGGCCACTTACCTATTGAGCAAAGGTAGAGAATACAACAGATCACAGTACAAGGCAGTGGGTCTGAAACCTGACATTGCTGTTTTTTATTTTCATCTTTTTCAGGAGCCTTTGTGCTCCATGATTGCGACCAGGGCCAATGCCAGTCTGCAAAGTACACATCCACTGCTCTGGAGGCCTATGCAATATCAGTGTGCTGACCTTGTGCTTGTGTGCTCCCAACTCAGGTCAAGCTGAATTGAGCTGTACTGCATATGCTGTTCTTGCAAAACATGTTTTCCAAGTATTTTTTACTGTAATTAACAACCAAAGATCTCAATTCCTTGAGCCTTTGGCTCAACATACACTGTCATTGGTGCACACTATGCAAACTCTGAGTAGTCTGATACATCTACCATAATTGTCAAGGGATGTGTTTGCTATGCTGTGGTTGCTGCCCTGCAGAATGAGCTCAGTGACAAGTGCATCTTCTTGCAGCCTCTAACCAATACATACTTTTGTTGTTCAGCCAGCATTCAAAACATAAATCCATTCTCAGCAACACTGATATTCTGAACCTGTGTCCTGTATGCACCAAATGAAGATGAGGCTTAAAGAAAACTTGAAAAGAAAAGAACTTCAGATTAATTTTCAAACAATTTTATTAAATGCTATGGGATGGATTTGCTGAAACTTGTCATGAAACATTCTTATTATTTCAAACATTAACTTTCAGCACACTGGAAGCTGTGGTGGCAGTCAGCCAAACACAGGCAGTCGGGTCTGTGGTGTACATGATTGAGAACCTTGGCTTCCATGCTGCTGCTATGCTGGACATGTTTAATAAAGTATATAATATTCTACAATTTAGCAAGTCAAGGTGGACTTTGGACCTTACCCCTCAAACTCATTTACTATCCACCTAATCTACATTACAGCCCATTACTGTTGCATTAATATATAGCACACTACCATATTGCTGCATTATATTTTAACATATTAATAACTCATATTCAGCTGTTTCAACCAATCAATGACCAGTATGTCTGAGCATTGCCATGAAAAAGCAGATGCTGGCCTTGAATTGGCAGATTGGCTTTAACATGTCAGATTGTGTCATCAGTGTTACATATTGACATCTGCCACCACAAGCATCCTCAACATATTTTGAAAGTAGGTTGATAAGATATCCCTGAGATGTCCCTGTTTCATGGTTAGTCTTCCTGTTGCATGTAATACAAACATTAATTGATATACAATGCACTCTTGCAACATGAGGTACAAATGCTGATAATGACTATCTGGTAATTCCTCCACAGGTTTCACAAGAAATGTATGACTGCAGAAGTTTCTACTTGACCAGGTCAGACTTGAGAGAACATTTCTTGGAGAATGGAAAGCATAAAGAGCATCTTCATCAAAGAGCATCACGTTCAGAAGTTGTGCAAAATCTTCCTTGATCCTTCAAATTTGGCCAAAGACTTTGTCCACATGAACCTTGATGCTTGAAAGTCATGATGGGCAAAAAAGTGTGACTTTGTAAGGTAAAGATGTCAGCTTTGGGGTAAAAAAGTAGTTGTTCAATGAACCAGATCACAGCAGTTCTAAGTGCAAACAGTCGCAAGTCGACCACATTTTCGCACATCCAGCATCGTGTGGAAGGTAGAATGTCGCCATGGAGCCAATCCCATTCCCCACACATCCAGTTACGCTATTAGACAACACCAACCTACCTAGCGACGTCGCACTTTGCTTTGCACAAAGACGTCTTTCACTCAGAGACTTCCACAAAATTGTCTTTTAACTGAGAAGCTTACCAGTATGTTCGGAGCGGTGGACCAAACAGAATGTTTCCGTTCTGGGGGCAGGCCTGTGCTAAAGCTAGCTGTTTTACCCAATCACGGATGTAACACCACCTCCCACACCAAAAATATGGATGATCGAACGCTTGCTGTAAACACGGTCTTAAGCTCAACTACTTACGTCTCAACTGCGCCAAGCAGCTCGCTAGCCAAATTAAAACCCTAAATGACTGCAATTTTTTGTGGCAAGATTTGCAAACGCGTTCATATGCCTGTTTCCAAAATGGTTTCGACTCACATAACCAAATTAAAAGAAATGATTGATTTGCTTTATTCAGATGAGCTTTGAAGTAAACTCACGGAAAATAACCGGCAGCTGACATACTGGTGCCGCGGTGTGCATCAATTAATATCATCGTTCTGAGTGATTTGGAAAATTGTATCCATCTGTCACATCATTTTTGCAACAAATAGCACTATCTTGTGAGTTAAAACAGAAATTGAATTGCCCTTATGCTGTATTTGTCTTTACCATTTTACAGTATTTTAAGGATACTCACATAAATGAATCTTCAGCGTCAGATCTGCCATTTATGTGAACTGCTGATTACTCTGGCTTTGGGGCGTATAGATCATGGGACAGGGCTGTGATCGCTGTTTGAAAACAATAGGCCTCCTAGTTGTACGGAGGTTTTGCGGGCGAACATCGTGGTGATACGATTGCGTAGCATTATGAAAGAAGCTAATTTCCAATTCTGTAGACCTTAGCACCTGCTCCACGATACAAACTACTAGCTTTAACCAAACAGCAGCACAAGTCTCGACATTCGCTTCCTGACACGGTTGCTCTCTTGGGCCTGTGTATGAAATATTCACGGTATCCGGGAAATGTATGCTGGCATGTATAGAGTCCTTTAGTGTATTGTACATAAGGTATTCTTGCTAAGAAACAATCTGAAAGTAACCCACTATGCATGAAGCATATGAATGTATACCAATTTTGGAAAAGCTTCCTCTGCAAATTGAATCAATAGCTACATTTGGTAAGTTGCTCTGAATTTTTTCTTCAGACTTGGCACATGCTGCACACCACTAAGATGTGTTTGAATGGCTATTCTGTCAAAGTTCTTAAACAGGTCTGCAATTAAATTCTGCTGCTGCATAGCCATGGAGTTTTGTTACAAATGGTGACACACCCAACAGACATGGTGTTTCATTAGGTAAACATTGTATGTTCAGCTGTTTTTGGTATTTCATCATCAGGTGTATTCAAATTTTGATTTAGGTCATTTTGCTTCTCATGTTAAACCCAGGAAGGGTTTGTTAACTAGTTCAGAGCCAAATTTTTCAGAGCTTCAAGTGAATGAATTTAAAGATGTGTTTATATTTCATTTTAGATGACAAGGTGGCTGTTGGTACAAGGCAAGGCCATTTGCTTCTGTATGCTGTGAAGCCAAGCTCCAAGCCATGCAGATGTGATGTTCAGCTACTCAGGTCTAACAAGAACTTTTCCAAGAAAGCTGTTGTGCAAGTTGATGTGCTCCAGGAGTACCAAACCCTCATCTGCCTATCTGGTATGAATGAAGAAGGTCCTTTTAAATACCTAGAAAAGATGTGTACAGTTTTAGTGGTGCGCTTTGGATATTTATGATGTGGATACATAATGGATATTCATAGTGTAACCATATGTGTCCATAGCCATAAGGTGGTTCCTGGTAGTCTTTGCTCTAATGGCCTAATGCACTAGCATGTTATCTGCAACTCATTTGCACAACTTACTCAACTTGCACTGACAGTTGTTTTACCTGAACATAACCTTAAAAGAGAACTGTGAACTGCCCAGATCTGCCATGCCAGTGGTGTATGTTCAGGTAATGTTTACCATATAATGGCAAAACACAAGTGCAGCAATGAGCCACAGGGGCTCCATAAGCTTTCCATGTTCTTGCCCAGTATCACAGATATTTGTTCCCCAACATAATTGTATAAAAACTAGGTTGTGATTATTCAATCAACAAATGCTAAGAAATTCAAATATCTCTGGCATAGTTTATATCTCTTGGACATTCAAAGCTAGTTTTCTTTGAATGACTTTTCTAGCTGTTTGTCCCATGCCTTTGCATGTGTTCTGGGTTGCTTTTGAAAATACTAAGTGGGTTGACAATGACAATGTTATGAGGCAGCTTACTCCAATGATCTAGTGCCCTGTTGCTGAAAGAAGTTTTTTACAATCTGGTTCTGCTAAATTTTTTGTGTATTTTTATGTTGATGCTCTGTTAGTATTGATTTTAACAGAAGTACAGAATTAATGGAATTCTAACAGAATCTTGATAGGTAACCCTGTTGTTGCCTATGGACAAATTGAAATATTTCTCTACAGTCTCCCCAAATCCTTCTATATTGTAGTGAAAACAACTTTGTCTCACTTTCATGCATATTTTTAGGTTCATTTGTCATTTCATTTCTTTCAGCTATCTTTCAGTGCCAGTTGTATTTGCTCATAAAAGTTATAAGGCCATTTACCTTTTAGTCACCTTTTTATGCCATCTTCAAAACCCTATAAGGCTTCTCATATCAGGTAAATTTGAGTGGTATTGTAGTTAAATATAACTCACATTTTCATAAGTCCTTAATGCTCCTTTGAAAGTTGGGAACTGTTCAGCCAAGCCACCACTACCATGAGCCACCGTCGATGTGACATTTATATGCCTCAAGGTCTACATCATCGCATTTCCAAAGATCCGGCAGACAAAGGGAGCTAACCCAAACATATGGTGTTATATCCAACCCTATGCTCTCCATCATGCCATTGGTTTCGCAGAAAGATTTGGTGTTTCAACACTTCACCATGCTGTCCAAACCGACCAAAGAAACCGCAAAGCAGACTCTCCCCCTGGTGAAACAGCAATTTTGTTAAATGTGACCCCGGTTCTGCTGTTCTTTCGCGTGGCAGCACACTGGAACCGTTTGAAGGCAATTCGCCTGCGAAATCACCGTCTTCTATTTTGTAAGATTATTACGCCTCACATCATTTTTGGATATCCTGTTCTTAGCTTAGATCGAGATTCGAAATTTCTGTTGTTCTGTTCTGGTTCGAAAATGTTTTGGCCTTAGAACTACCTGCTCTCAGGGCACCATTGATTTCGTGGTTACGCTGCTCTTCTGGGACACCGAGCAGCGGAGTGCGTCGGAACGGCCCAGTGATGCATATACTGGTGCTGTCACCATTGTGGTCGGAATCACCAGTTATCAGATGTTATCAGTCGTCAGTGGAGACCGATGTCCTTCCTGTTTCAGATAACCTAGTGACAGCTCATGATCTGGGATCGTTCAACTTCAACCTGTTTACTTCCATACCCAGAACAAAAGGCGCCTCTATGTTCAAGGTCGACATTCAGGTGTGTTGGCCACTGTTTGTGTTCGCTCTTATCCCATTGTGTTCGTACGTCCTGGAATTTTAAGTTCTTCTGCACAGAGGCTCTTGTATTATCCCTGGTTTAAGTCGTATTTTATGTCATGATGAACGAAGTTGTAGTTGAGTCGCAATTGAGTACATTTCTGTAAGAATTTGGGAGTTGGCTAAACCAGCTGCCCTCATAGCTGCACCAACTGGGCCAAATCACTGCTGCATCACCAGACCAACCTAGTCATTTCTGGAACCGCACACCAGTCTGCTTTACCCTATAACACCCAGCTATTCCCATATGTGCTGCAGCGCCAGATCAGTGTGTCAATTTTCTGCAGCGCCATACAAGTCTGGTATCTGTTGCAGCAGCAAAGCAGTCTGATATGGACTGCACTAATGGGTCAATGGGACCCCTGCCACACCATTTTAGGTTTGTCTTATGTACCAAACTCGTACTAAACTCGTGCATCACCGGCCTTGCCGGGCCCTCAGCTTCAGGTTTTCCTTGCCTGCCATTACACCAGACTGTTCGGACCTCTGCCGCAGTGCCCGACCAGTCTGACCTCTGCCTCAGCGTCAGACCAGTCTGACCGGTGACCAGTCGCTGGCGGTGCGGCTGTGCGTGGCCGTCAAGCGGAAGCTGCAGCTGTACTACTGGAAGAACCGCGAGTTCCACGAGCTGATGTCGGACCTGGCCGTGCCGGACGTGCCGCGCTCGCTCGCCTGGAACCGTAACGCCATCTGTGTCGGCCTGCGTACCGACTACTTCTTGCTGAAGGTGCGCCAGCGGCCGACCCGCCCGGAAGGGGGCGCCGGCCGTGGTCGCCGCAGGGAGGGGCCGGCCGTGCGCGCCGGCGCCCCTCCTGCGAGTATGAGATGTGCTGGGGTCTTCAGCCGCGGCTTGTCCATGTGGAATCAAGGGAATGCCGTGTGTCGGGCCGCAGCCTAATTGCCAATCCTCTGGGCCAACTTGTTCAGAACTGAACAATGCCATATGGACAGAATATAAGCAAAACACGGCAGTTGTTGGAGCAAAGCCAACACGTGCCAACGTGCCAACAAAACCAACAGAGCAAAGCCAACTGCCACGCTCGGCCATACCGCGTTTAGGAAGTTTTTAGGTTGCCGAAAGCTTCGTATCAGTGACGCGTTCCTGACACAATTCAGCCGTTTTCATTTCCGAATCATATATATTTTTTTAGTAGTTTACCGCCGTAGGTAGCTATTTAGCTGTTATGGGCGCAAAATGACCACAGTAGTCGACGCGCCCTAAAACTCCAATCAACAACAACAGCAAGCTCTGATTGGCCACTGCCGCACTGTGGTGGATCGCTTCCGTGCCGTGACCGTCTGCTGTCGCTCTTAGATTGGTCGCTGCTGTATTCTGATCAGTCGCTGTCGTCCCGTGACTGCCTGCTGTTGTGCTCTGATTGGCCGCCGCGGTGCTGACGCGCCACTGGCCCGGCCCCCAGCTGTCCGGCGAGGAGCGCGAGCTGTTCCCCACGGGCAAGTCTGGCGAGCCGAACATCGTCCACCTGGGCGGCGAGCGGCTGGCGTTATTGCGCGACCAACAGACCATCTTCATCGACGGCGACGGCATGCCCACGCAGAAGCTGGCCGTCACGTGGTCGCAGGTGCCGCACGCCCTCCGTGAGTCGCGTGGCGGCCGGGCCAGGCCAGCCGGCCGAGTCCACTGGGTGTAGTTCATGGTCTGGTATGTACTACTGGGTTGGTATATACCGCAGGTGGCCTTTTTGGAATGACGCGCGGGCGCGCCCAGTCTCACAATAAGGTTAGGAGGAGGCCTCAATACTTGAAGTCATCGGCAATGATGTCGCGAACCGAGCCAAACCAGCATCATCGTCCTGGTCAAAGGCAGTGCTCTCCGCAGACGCGGCGTGTATGGCGCGTCTCGCTCGACGCTCGGCTTGCAGCCGTGTGTTGACGGGGCCCGTCTGTCGCCAGTGTACGACGCGCCGTACCTGATCGCGCTCTGCGCCTCGCACGTGGAGGTGCGCTCCATCGAGCCCCGGCTGCACATTCAGACGATCCCGTGGCCGGCGCCGCGCTTCGTCACGCGGAACGCGGCCGGGCAGGTGAGCCGCCCACGCCGGCCCCGGTCAGGGCCAGGGCGGGAGCAGCGGCAGCCGCGCGCCCACCAAGAGCTGCCCTCGCCAGCGGCCGTCTGCTCAGTCACGCACCTAGTAACGCTTGCTCGCACGGGGCGCCGCAGAGACGGTGCCGCTCACAATGCTGCGTACGGCGCATGCTAGGGTCTGACTTGCGAGCGCTGTGAGTTTGTCAACGGAGGTGGCCCGGTAAGGGTCGCCTCCAAGATACGGTAGATGTCTTAGACATATGCAATGTGTAATACATGCTAAGATGCCTGGAAACTCATTTTTCCGTTATTCTTCTGACAAGATTTGCATTATGTGCGTGGATTGTGTGTTCGAGTGGCAGGAAATGGCTTGATACCCAGGACGGCTTGTATACATATATAAACTTAATCGTGAATAGGTGCGTGGTGTGCCCGACACACTGCGGCAGGTGTGTATGCGGCTGACCAGATAGTGCGTCCTCCGCATGACAGACCCTGTCGAGCACATCCTGTCCAAGACAAACCACTTCTGCCCTCCTCCTCCCCTGACCGCTGCGATCTGGTCCTGACCAGAGCGGGCCCCGTCTGACACCCCCTCCCCTGACCGCTGTGGTCGGTCCTGACCGGAGCGGGCCTCGCCTGACGCCCGCTCCCCTGACTGCTGTGGTCAGGTCCTGACCGGAGTGCGCCCGTCCTGATGCCACTTCCCCTGACCACTGTGGTCAGGTCCTGACCAGAGCGGGTCCCACCTGACACCCCCTCCCCTGACCGCTGTGGTCAGGTCCTGACCAGAGCGCCCCGCCTGACACCCCCTCCCCTGACCGCCGTGGTCGGGTGCTGATCAGAGCGGGCCCCGCCTGACACCCCCTCCCCTGACCGCCGTTGTCGGGTGCTGATCAGAGTGGGCCCCGCCTGACACCCCCTCCCCTGACCGCCGTGGTCGGGTGCTGATCAGAGCGGGCCCCGCCTGACACCCCCTCCCCTGACCGCCGTTGTCGGGTGCTGATCAGAGCGGGCCCCGTCTGACACCCCATCCCCTGACTGCTGTGGTCATGTCCTGACCAGAGCGGGTCCGCCTGACACCCCCTCCCCTGACCGCTGTGGTCGGGTCCTGACTTCGCCCTTACGTCGGCAGATTATCGTGGCATCGTCGTCGCACCTCTGGCTGCTGAAGGCTGTGGCCGTGGACGTCCAGGTCAACAGCCTGGTGCAGGAGAAGCAGTTCCAGCTGGCGCTGGAGCTTGCGGTGAGTGCTGTCGGCGGATGACGGCGGTACGCCTCGCCCCGCCCCGCCCCGCCCCGCCCCGCCCCGCCCCGCCCCGCCCCGCCCCCAGCCAGATGAAGACAGGGCCGTCTGTGGCCGTTCAATACTGTCCGGGCCTTGTTTGGCCCGGATGTCCGGATGGCTTGTGTACATACCTCAGTTGAAGTAATTTTCGTGCGGTGGACATGAATTCCGCATTTTTCTGCAATGTTAGGTGCTCCTGAAAACGTCATACATGTGCCTATGAGCCCCCTGGTTGAGACCATGAAGTACTCAGCAACAGGACAGCTAAAATGAAGGGAGGAATTGGAGGTGACGAACGACGATGGTTGGCAGGACAACTTTTTTATTTCTGCTCCCAATCGTCCCATTTTCCTCGTTTAGGTCTACACTCTGTATACAGTTATTGCCTTTTCCCTCTTCGCGTCTTGCATTTCGCCCGGATCGGTTGTGCTGCATTTCCCCCGTTTCGCCTGTCTCCAGAATCTAGCGGATGGTCCGGAAGAGGAGAAGACCAAGCAGATTCAGCACATCCAAAACCTGCATGCGTTCGATCTCTTCACCAAGAAACAGTTCAAAGATGCTATGACGATATTCCTAGACCTGAACACCGGTAAGAGCTGCTGTTGTGTGGTAATCAGGGTCAGTCTCATTTTCTCGACGTTTTGGCGCACGTTAGTTACATTTTTTATTGCGCATTTCTTTCTCTTGAGATAATCTTTGTTGCTTCCCGTTGCCGGTTTTGCAGCGTCCATGAGCTGGCACTTGATATTTGCAACGGAAATGCGTGCCTTATCTCCACGAACATTTTCGAAGTTTCAGCGACCGGTGAGGATTCCAACGCATAAAATTGTTTGATTTCATGTTAAGTAATGCGGATGAACGATTTTAAGTCCTTTTTGTGGTAGAGGTCAGCTGTTTTCAACCATTTTGATCGCACATAGAGGGAATGCTCTACATTCGAAGATATTGAAGCAAGCACGGGATGCACTGGAATATGCTGGCTTATGAGTATCGGAATACTTTTAAGTGGAAAAAGGTGGTCTAGACAACACAATTTCTTTGTTTAGCAAATAGATGGCTCGGTGCATCATTTTTTATTACGTTATTATACCTTGCATGGCATGGGCACAGCCAATTGGCGGCCGTTATATATGAAAATCATGCTCACGAATGCCAGATATGGGCGACTCGACAATTACATTTTTATCAGCCTTGATCGCCGCACGCCCAACGAAATGGCAGGATTTCAAAAACGTTATTATTCGCAGGCGTGTAGCTTAGATACTAGGAGGGCTTAGGTCTTATCAACGGCTGGGCTGCGGACTACACCAAATGAGCTTTAAGATGGTTATTTCAGTGCGAAACCTCATACAAATGTGGAACACGCCCTGTAACCTCGGCGAAATAAGAATTATAGAAGACAAAAGCCCTCGCAATAATGCATCGGGGTGACCGACCGGACCGGGAGCGAACCTCATCGCATGGTCAACAGCCGCATCCAGTCTCCCTCGTCAGAGCACGTGGCGCGTGTCCGGCAGACCCGTCGCACGTGATCGGCCTGTTCCCGGACCTGCTGCCGCAGCAGTACTGGAACCAGCTGGAGTACCCGGACAGCCTGCCGGACCTGCAAGGCCGCGACATGGAGAACGGCCTGCTGGCGCTGGCGGACTACCTCACGCAGGCAAGGCGCGCGGCGCCGGCAGATCGCTGGCCATGGTGACACCTGGTGTTCAGGGCCGCTTCGACCGCGGGGCCATTTTGCGCCCGCTCAGGACCGGCGAGCTCAGTCCTACTCCGTCAGTAATAGTGGTTACCTATTAGAAGCTACCATCCGATACCAGGCTACGCTTGTGATCTCAGGCGATGGCGATCTCATATGGACCAAGGTACGCTGATATTGACATCATCCGTACCAGTGCGCGAAATCCATGTCCATCATGTGTGCGGCCATGCGCCCGGTCGGTGTGAGGGCCGACTGACAGCTGACTGGCCAGGTACAGCTAAATCGACCGGCATAGCTGCGTGATATTGGCGTCATGGCTGCCGCATGCGTGACATGCGGTCTTTCAAGGCGCCATCTGACGTGCTCCAGGTGCCGCCACGCCTTGTTTGGGCCTCGGCCCCCGCGGTCGCGCATGGCTCGCTTCCGTCAACTTCGAATCGAGTGGCGCACAGCGCGGCTGCTGTCCTGACGCACCGCGCTTCGCTGTCTTCCTGACGTGCCATGCTTCGCTGTCTTCCTGACGTGCCGCGCTTCGCTGTATTCCTGAGTTGCCGTGCTTCGCTGTCTTCCTGACATGCCGTGCTTCGCTGTCTTCCTGACGTGCCGTGCTTCGCTGTCTTCCTGACATGCCGTGCTTCGCTGTCTTCCTGACATGCCGTGCTTTGCTGTCTTCGTGACGCTCCGGTTCTCCCTGCCGTCCTGACGTGCCGCGCTTCGCTGTCTTCCTGACGCTCCTGCTCTCCCTACTATTCTGACGCGCCGCGCTTCGCTGTATTTCTGACGTTCCGGTTCTCCCTGCCGTTCCGATGTGCCGTGCTGCGCTCTCATGCCTCGCCGTCGTCCTGACGCCCCGCACGCCGTCCGCAGGTGCGGCACAACCTGCTGAAGGACAGTAGCAGCAACACCGTCTGCAACATGGCGATCGTGGAGGGCAGCGGCACGGTGCGCTCCCGCTCGCAGCTGCTGCAGATCGTGGACACGACGCTGCTCAAGTGCTACCTGCAGGTGAGCACGGCCGGCGCCGGCCGCCGCCAGCTGAGGCAACAGAGGCGCATTAACATAGCAAGCGTGTCAAGGCGTCTCATGTTGAGAGCTTAGATTGGCAGCATGTGGAGCACCTGATGTTCACATAAGTCATCCCCGGTACCGCCCGTGCCTCCGACACTTGGTCCGCCTGGGCTACGCTCGCGCCGCCCTGTGTGTGTCTCGCTCTGAGTGGTGTCTCAGTGGGGGTATGGCCTCTGGCGTCACCCGAGCGGACGCGTCAGCGAATCACCGCGCTCGGCAGACAAACTCGGCCCTGGTGGCGTCGCTGCTCCGCCTCAAGGACAACCACTGCCACCTGGAAGAGACGGAGCACGCCCTGAAGAAGGACCACAAGTTCGCCGAGCTCATCATCCTGTACCAGACGCGCCAGTTCCACCGCAAGGCGCTGGAGATGCTGCTCCGGCAGAGTGGCCGCGCCGACTCCAGTCTGTACGGCTTCGACCGGATCATACACTACCTGCAGCACCTGGGTGAGTCTGACCCGGCCGGCGGCCCGGTGCGCGCCGCGTGCCCGGACCGCCGCTGGGTGAGTGCGCGGCGCGTGCCTTTTCTCGGGGCAGCCGGCGGATGAGGGGCGTTACGGAGGCCTGTCGTTTGATGCGAGGCCTTGGATGTGCGGGCGGTACGTGGCGTGTCGTGTGACCGGAGCGTCGGGGCGTGACTGGATCTGCTCCAGTACGCCGCGTCCGCTGACGTCAGTCCCGTGCAGACAGCGCCGCTGTGTGGTCTGGTCACCAGCAGACAGCGCCGCTGTGTGGTCTGGTCACCAGCAGACAGCGCCGCTGTGTGGTCTGGTCACCAGCAGACAGCGCCGCTGTGTGGTCTGGTCACCAGCAGACAGCGCCGCTGTGTGGTCTGGTCACCCAGACAGCGCCGCTGTGTGGTCTGGTCACCAGCAGACAGCGCCGCTGTGTGGTCTGGTCACCAGCGGACAGCGCCGCTGTGTGGTCTGGTCACCAGCAGACAGCGCCGCTGTGTGGTCTGGTCACCAGCAGACAGCGCCGCTGTGTGGTCTGGTCACCAGCAGACAGCGCCGCTGTGTGGTCTGGTCACCAGCAGACAGCGCCGCTGTGTGGTCTGGTCACCAGCAGACAGCCCCGCTGTGTGGTCTGGTCACCAGCAGACAGCGCCGCTGTGTGATCTGGTCACCAGCAGACAGCGCCGCTGTGTGGTCTGGTCACCAGCAGACAGCGCCGCTGTGTGGTCTGGTCACCAGCAGACAGCGCCGCTGTGTGATCTGGTCACCAGCAGACAGCGCCGCTGTGTGGTCTGGTCACCAGCAGACAGCGCCGCTGTGTGGTCTGGTCACCAGCAGACAGCGCCGCTGTGTGGTCTGGTCACCTCGCCTCTTGCTGGTGCCGGGGCCGCCGAGTCGGGCCTGATGCCTCGGCCCCAGTCACGGCCTGGAGCCAGCTGGGCGGTCCGACACTGGACCCGCCCTGAGCCGGACCGCACCGCCAGGTCCGGACCACATGGATCTGGTGGAGGAGTTCGCGCGGCCGGTCCTGCAGGAGAGCGCCGAGGAGGGCCTGCTCATCTTTACCGACGACCTGCAGGAGGTGGAGGCGCTGCCGCGGCCGCGTGTCTGCGAGTACCTCCGGCGCACTGCGCCGCAGCTGCTGCCCCAGTACCTGGTGAGATCACCTTGATCCCCAGCGAGCTGACCTCTTGTGCCGCCTGGTGGCAGCCGAGTATCGGTGGCTCAGCTCAGACAACCCTCTGATCAGATTACCCCCTGCAGGCATTGCAGTCTTCGCTGAGAGAGGCCATGCCTTCCCCATGGTCGGCGTTCTTTCGCTGGTGTAGGCAGCCAGGATCCCGCTGTGCCACCCGATGTCGTTGATTTTGCGACGGGAGCCAAATGTGGGAGAGCGCTCCGAGTGGGACGAGAGCACCGCGTCTCGCCGCTCGAGTCTCCAACTGACATGTTCTGCGCTCCCGCCAGGAGCACGTGATCGACGTGTGGCACGAGACGCACCCAATGTTCCACAACGAACTGCTGTACCGGTACCGGGCGCTGGCGCAGGAGGCAGAGGGCGCCGCCGCCGCCGAGCACCGCCGCAAGCTGGTGACGCTGCTGCGCCGTTCGCAGCACTACATCCCCGAGCAGATCCTGGTGCACTTCCCGCACGACGGTCAGTTGGTGCTCGGTGCCAACCGGGCTGGTTGGGCACGCGGGGGGGGGGGGGGGGGGCGAGTGCCGGGGACGCTCGGGTCGTGCTGGTGCTCTGCACACTGATGGAGCGCTGCTGGTGGCTGCCGTGTCTCATGCCTGTGTCCGTGCTAGTGCGAGCGCGAGGGAGACAGAGAGACACCGTCGGGACTGTATTAATGATGTGTCCGTGGATGGATGTGCGTTGGCTCAGTCCCTCTTGCCCGTCTTCCGTGATGTACCGCGTCCGCCTGAGGGCGGCTCCGGCTGGTCGCAGCGTTCTTCGAGGAGCGCGCCATCTTGCTGGGCCGGCTAGGTCGGCACGAGCAGGCGCTCACCATCTACGTGCACATCCTGCGGGAGCCGGAAAAGGCGCTCGAGTACTGCCGCGAACACTACAACCCGGACCGGCCGGCCGACGCCAAGGTACCGGGCGCTGGAGGCTGCCGCGCCCTGCCCCCGTCCGCCAGCTCCGGTCTGGGTCAGGGGTCAGAGCCGCCATGAATGACGGTCAGATTTGCGGCTATCCTCGCGCGCGTCCTGCGGGACTGGCACTCCCGCCAGTCGTTGGCAGTGGCCACGGCTGTCCGGCTTGGAAGCCGTCTGTCGGTGGGCGGCGGGTCGCGCGCCGGGACGCGTTGTGCCGTGCCAGAGTTTGTGTGACAGCGCCGCTTCAGCCCGGCCCGGCCGGCAGGTGTACCTGTCGCTGCTGGTGCAGCTGGCCACTGAGGTGAGCCCCAAGCTGCTGGGCGTGCTGGCGCCGTCGTGCGAGCCGCTGCCGCCCGACCTGCCGGCCGCGCTCCGGCTGCTGGAGCAGCACGGCGACAAGATGGACCCTGTCCAGGTGAGCGGCCGCCCGGCGCCGGTGTACCGCCACGGCCCCGAGCCGCAGATCACCAGACCGAACGGCGCGTTGTGCGAGGCGTGACTGACGCTAGGCACTGGAAATAAACCAGCGCTCTGCAAGCGCTGCTTGTGTTGCTCGCGCCTAGGTTCACCGGGAAGACTTCTTGGTGTTGTATTTTGTTGGTCACACTGAGTTTTTTCTCTTGTCGTTTTCCCCAGCCCCTGTAAAGCCAGCTGTGTTCACCTGTGCTCTCATCCACCCACCTAGCAGCAGCCTCAGCCCTCGCCACAGACGTCATCGGCCTCATCCCAGCTTGAATAACGAGCACCCTAACGTGAGGCGTGGCTATGCGTATTTCCGTGAGATCGTGACATGGTCACTGATCGGCGCTCGCCTTGAGGAGAGGGAGACCAAAGAGGACCAGCAACATGATGTCGACGTGTTACTTGTCAGTTTCCAACTCCGCGATACTTAACGTTTAAGGATGAACATCGCAAGGAAAGGAACCTGGAAAAGCACCCACGCTTGACCCGTGGCGGGCCCTACTAGCGCTGCAGCGCGTGGATCAGGCCTGACCGCCCCTCCCCGCCAGGCGCTGGCGCTGCTGCCGGGTCCGCTGCGCGTCAGTCGGCTGGCTCGCTTCCTGTGCTCGACATTGGCGCAGCGACAGACGGTGCGGCGGCGCGGCCAGCTGTCGCGCGCGCTGCAGCAGCGCGAGAGCCTGCTGGCGCGCGAGGCCCGGCTGCGCCACCAGCGCCAGAGGGTGGTGCTGCTCGACGGCCAGACCTGTCCTGTCTGCGGCAAGCGGTTCGCCGCGCAGAGGTGAGACGGGCAGCGCCCGGCCGTGGCTCCTCAGTCGGAGAGCGGGAGCGCCCGGCCGTGGCCGCTCAGTCGGGGAGCGAGAGCACCCGGCCGTGGCCGCTCAGTCGGAGAGCGAGAGAGGGAGCCGCTGCGGCCGACGATACCTGCGGGTCTGCCAGCCAGCATCATAGTTCAGTGGCAGTTGTGTATGATGCCTGGAGTTAGTGCACTTCTTCCTAGCATGGACCCACATGTGTGGTTTGCGGGACCTGGGGCTCCCTGATGGCAAAGTCTGAACAGCTTTCTGGAGAGGTTAGAACAACAGTTGCGCAGCATGCGTGTGATGCTACTTTAACACGGCTCCTGCGCTAAGTGTATTTGCGATGACTTGCCTCATCAGCGCCGTGATGCTTCGAGTGTACACGCTGAGTTTAGTTAGACACGTTCAGACCGGCCGCAGGTCGGATTCCTCCGACGCTGGCCGCCTGCCCCGCCGCCGCCGCCGCCGCCGCCGCCGCCGCCGCCGCCGTCGGCTCACGCTGACCGCGCTCGTGCCCGCAGCGTGTTCGCCCGGCTGCCGAACGGCGACGTGGTGCACTACGCCTGTCGTCAGACCGACCAGCAGCTGCCGGGGGCGTGAGCGGCGACGGCCTCCCGTGCTCCTGCGGCTCCTCCCGTGCTCTCGGCTCTCATAGTCCCGAGGCGAGCTGTGCGAGGAGTGTCCGTGTGTGGCCGGTCGGCTGCGCATTCTGATGGCGTTTTCTCGGCCCGCGGACGTGCAGCCCGGGTGAGCGGCATCGGACCTGCGTCCAGTCGGCCGGCGGACCTAGTCCCTGTGGGGCCGCCGACCCCTGAGCCGAGTCGTCCAGCTGGACCCGTGCGCCGCCGCCGCTGCCGTGCTGGCGCGCACCGGGTGATGTGCCATAGCTAGTCGGTCGGCCGGGCCACCGCGCCGCCCGCTCAGCGTCGAGGAGCATTGCGAGGCTGCCCGCTCGGGCGTGGCGCCGAGGGCAGCGTGTCGTTCCCTAATGCTCTGTTCATTTCAGCTGTGCATCGGGGGCCAGCGGCGCCCGACGGTTCGGTGTTTAAGTGCCTCCTGGTTCTTCCAGGACCAGTCAAGCCGCAGGCGGCGCATGGCACGACAGCTCGCGCCTCTTTTTGCTGGCACTCATGCGGGCAGCGTCAATTCCTGCCGCGATATTCATGCCGTTATGTTCGTGTTTGTGTATCTTGGGTCCGAGTGTTGTCAGCGAGCAGTGTGTGTACTCTAGCCTGCCGGGGGCAGTGTTCGGACGTTATCGGACATGGCGAGCCGGGCCACGTTCCGCACCTCGTCTGAGTAGTCAGCGTTTAAAGCCCCCACGGAGCAGTACAACACATCGCCGGTCGGTGTCAGGCATATATTCAATGTGTCAATGTAGCTTGATTTGAAACTCCTGCCTTCTCATTAAGTACGGATGTAACAGAGCCATATATTTGGTAATAAAAAATGCTGCGTATGATAGATGTGTGACTGGATGCCGAGCGGTGAGGACTGGGTCAGAGCGCTGCTTCATTCAACTCAGCGCGGTCAGGGCCAGCTCTAGACCGCAGCTCGTGGAGTCGCTTCCCAGCTGCTGGATTGTGAGTACCTGAGCATAGGTCTGAGTCGGCTTGTATTAGGCTGATTCCTAACCGGCTTCGGCTGAAGAGAGTCTGCATGCCGAATGTTCCGCATATGTTCCGCACGAGCTCTGAAAGAACCCGCCGCCCGACCCGCGTTACAATCCTTTCCTCGGCCGTCCAGCGGGACGGGAGGGTGGAGGGCCCGTTTCGTTCTTTGCGACGGTGCGTCCGACCGCCCTGCCCCAGGGCGATCCGTCGGCCGACTGTGAAGCCTAACCCAAAACTGAGCTTTCGCTGCCGGTCGGCCACTGCGCTCATCCCAGGGCGTCGCCAGAGAGACCGCATGAGCCCGCCATCCTTATGCCAGACTGCGGAGATGGGCAACGCACCAGGCGGTAACTGGAAATAGCGAAAGCAACGCCATGCAATGGTCACATGCGCAGGCACGCACGCGGAACATCTATTCCGGAAATGTGACAGACATATGCATTGGCAGATGAACAGGCGAGCCCGGCTCCCAGCAACTCAGCGCTTGGTTGGAATTCATGGAAAATGCAGGACAGCATAAGCCCATATCGGCATGCACCAAGGAATGCGTAAAACGTGAAGCCTTGACATGGTTCCTCAAAGAACCATGTGATGCGCTGCCCGGCTCCCTGCAATCGTCTGTCTTTGCTCGTCCGGGCCGCGCGGAAATCACATGTGGCCCTCACTTGATAGCATACGCCCCCGCGGCGGTCCCGTTGAGGGGTGCGTGCCGCATGTGACCCGGACGTGGCTGCTCGGTCCAACCTACGAGCTACATCGTGGCTGAAGCGAAATGCTGACCAGGCCTGCAGGCAGTCAGACAGACCTTTAAACTAGTCATTGATATCGCCTGACTTTCATCGCTCTCTTTGAATGATCTCGGGTGCCCTTGGTGGCCTCTGGGTCACGCGGCATGTAACATGGGCATGACAACATGGATAAATAATGCTATATGGCAGGTGCAGCACTGGCCGCACCTATACTTCTCTCAAAGTATGTACGATCGTAGCTTAGCTTTGTCGGGAAGCTGTCCGTTCCGGCATATTGACATTGACTGTTGTTAACATATAGACACCAACTGTTCTTGGCATTCTCTACCCGTGCCTGATCCCCCATACATATTCGCTTGTTGATAATCTTGACCATTGCACGTCGATTGATGTCCTATTTATAGCAAATTAATCGTGAGACCAGTCAGATTGTTCAATTGCCTTCTCAAGCAATGCCAGTATTTTAGTAGCATTTATTTATGCAAGAAGTCACTTCCCGAGGCACGCACGAGGCGCCATTCATTGTCGCATCGGATGCCGTGACGGTTGGTGGTCGGCTGAGTCCAGCTGAGTCGTCGCGTGCCGGTGGTTGTGGCCCTGCGGTGGGTGCAAAGGGCGCAGGACAAAACAGAAACCAACTAGCCGGATATTCGTCATCAGGTGAAAAATGGTGTTTTGTAACTGAAGATGCAATGGTTTTGTGTTCGGTCGAGGCGCATTCGCCCAAAATTTGATTAGCAAGTGCAGAGTTGTTACCGAGGCGTGCGCGGCGCACCCCACCATGTTCAAGTTCTGTACTCCCCTGTTCGCTGTTTTCTTGTCAGCGGTTACAAGGAATGACATCAAATATTCCTAGTGCTCATTTGTCATTGGTTGGATTTTTCTTTGTGTTGCAGTTAGTGATGTTTGGTCACCCATCTGTGTTCTTATTACCAGGCTATAGAAAGGGCACGCTAAGTTGGATGTGTTCATCATAGCATGACAATTATTGCAAAAAATGTATGCACACATCTGAAATTTGATTGCTTAGAGCTTGGGGTAGTAAGCGCCAATTGCAGCATTTTGAGGCTGTTGTAATGAAATGTGATGTTGCTGAGACAATTTCACGCTGAAGTGCTTTGAAAGCACTTCCCCGACAAAATGATGTAAAAGTTTACTGGGCAAAAAGTTTACTGAAAGCACAAGTTTACTGGGCCTGAATCTGATGCACACAACATTCATGTCTGGTATATAATATTTTAGAGGTTTCTGGCAGTGTGGAGGGATTTTTACATACTGAACTAAGGGAGGGTATTTGCCACTGTGACAATCAATTGTGCACATGTACTGTTTGTCTGCCATTGGCACACTCTATATCCTGTGCAATAATTTATAGCGATGATGAGCATTTAGTTAAACATAACTCATGCCATAAATGTCATGTACATCTGGTTGGTTGTGGTTGGTTTATGTTTGTGGTACAAAAACCTCAGTCTGATCAGTCTAAGAGTCATGCACGCAAATTTTCTATTCTGTTTTTCAAACTTTCTGCTTTGAGGGATATAGGATATATAAACTGCCAGTGTATATCAGTGTTGAGCCAGCTTTGGTAGCCTGATATATTTACTTGTATTTTTGGGCTCAGCTACAATTAACCTATCCTATGATATATGTGCTAGAGCTAAGGAGTAGGCAGTAATAGCTTAATTGGCTATAGTGCCTGCTTGCCTGTGCATATGCTTGTGCTATTTAGGGTGATTGAATCACTACATGCTGTAGGCATTTCTCTCCAACCCAGGTGGCCAATGGCAGGTGCAGTTCAATTCGAGATGTTGTTAGGTGGCAGGATGCACCAAACTAAGCATTGTGTCACATCAAATGCATGCCACAGAATTTTGCTGTTGAACTGTCATCTTATGACTAGATGCTCGGGTCAGGGTTCATATACCAAACACTACAGGTGTATGCCTGGATCCCAGAAATCCATCCAATCAAAAGGTTGTACTGCACACAGATATATGTAAAAATATCATGGAAGATAAGGAGCTGGATGAATGAGAGGTAATGAACTGAAATAAATGGATGTAATGAATTCAAAGGAGGAATGAGAAGTGCATGACACACTCAATTGCATGAATCCAGGGCCTCCAAAGGTGATGGGCCATGCAATATAGGATAAGGATGAGCATATGACATTTAGGTTGACTTTTTTAGGTTGAATTTTAGGTTGAACTTTAGGTTGACATTTTGTTTTGTACATCAAACTTGGAATTGATGGAACATACAATAACATGTACACTGCAAGTACTGGAAAGCTGGATTTGACTATGAGGTCACATAATTTCAGCTCAGCATTGTGCAGTGTGGAATGCTGAACTCTATTATGTGAAAACTAATGGCCTTGATCTAGTTGGGTGCAAAGGTGAGCTTACCAGCTCAAATAATTGCTCCGTGCTGCTAAGTATTTCAGTGCAAAGACAATTTGGTCTGGCTTGTTATGCTGTAGCACCATTTGATTAGGTTTGCAAGTTTTGTTTGCCTTCATACATTACCTTGGTCTCAGTTTATTGGCTTGGTGAATATTACCTGTCTTACCTGTCATTGTCCCCTCACTTTGCAGATTTCTGTGGTGTGCTTCATCTGGCATACTTGAATTGTAGTTTCCATTTGGGGTTAATCAAGAGACCAAATTTATGTTGACCTCTTTGTGATGTTCAGTGTTGTATCAAGTATGAAATGAGAACAAATATTTTTTGCAACCTCATTACTCCCTGTAGACTGCTGTGTTTGCCTGACAAGACAAGCTTCAGGTATCTGCTAAAGTGTGAATTTACTCAGCATCAGAACAAGGTAATGGAGTTGATGCTGCTTCATGCCCGATGCTTGCTTGTTGCACACTTCTTTGTTGCATGTTCACAACGTAGGTTTTGTCTGTCTTTGTGACAGTCTGCACATGCTCTAAACTGTACCATACATGATCTGTATTTTAAAGCTCCCCCATATGGCTTGTGAGGCCCTTCATTTGGGACCTTTTTAGCTGTGTTAGGTGGGTAAGTCTTAGATCCTTGCCAGCCTCATTTCTTTGCCATTTTTGCCATCTTTGCCATGATGGGGGTCAGGGGTATGCATTGCTTATTCACTGCACCTATTGTGATGTGTTGCTTTTAATGTTGAGAAAAGTTTGGTTAGCTTTGCCTGTTACTAACAGCCCTTACCCAGGTTATTTCCAGTTATCCTCTGTGGTTGACATGTTAGGAGAGGTTGGGCAAGCTCAAACCATGTCATCCAAATCCCATGTGACATGTGTATCACCACACGACTTTCCATGCCTGCAGAATACAACTGGTCATGATCAGTGAATGTTCCAAATTCATTCAGTTAGATGTCAAAGATATGCACATAAACTCATGCAGCCAGTCTTCTGACTCCACAGGTGGCCTTTCTACACACACCATTTTGTGGGCTGGTGATCTGTTTTCCTTTTACTTTAAACCATAGTATTCTGACCTGCCAGCATGATTTGCCATGCTTGAAACCTGTATAACAAACCTCGTAGGAAATGATACCCCACTCTCTGTTATACACCTGACTTCAAGTCTTGTCTAGAGCAAGAGAACATGTTTGTGGTCCATGAGTGAGCCTGAGTGATCCTGTCTTGAAAAGACACAATTGCCTCCATGTAACACATATTTTTGTTCATATGTTTAACATGCCCAAACATTTTCTACTTGAAGCATACATGTTCAAGAGGAATTTTGTAGATTGAGTGTGTTTTGCTGAGTGATCACAATGAGAGCTTGCAGCTTGAGTAATCCGGTTCTACCAGCATGCTTTCTGGAAGTAACACCTTTGCACAACTAATCACAACTTAATGACTTTGCACCGAGTTCCCGAAACAATAGATGAGGCGACGAGCAGGGCTTCAGGGACACGACGCTGGGGCAGTCAGTCATCAGGTGCGTGGAAAAGGGAGGGGCAAGAGTGGATAAGTGATGTGACTCACGTGCCAAGTACCGTCACTTCCGGTGTTTCTGTGGCCCTTTTTGTTCTGTTTTATTCCCCCAATCTACCAACGTCATGGTGGCGAATTCGGGAAGTTTGCTGTCCCAGCTCATTTGACCTTTGCTGCACCTCATAGCCCACCAGTCCCAGTAGCAAGCAAGTCAGTGCCATGAGGGCTTAAGACCACTGATCTACCTTAAGCTTTCACCGCTATGTATACTCTTAAACTGTCCCGCATGTTTCAAAAAACAGTCGCATACAAATCATTTGCGAAACATTCCGATACCATCCCAGCGCGAACGAAATGCAACACCTCCGTTCCATTGACATGGCCGCGACATATGCCAATTTCGAGGAGCTACACAACTGTGTGAGACCAGGCCCAGGTCTCTGCGACCGGGGGTTGCGGCTGCAACACGCGGACACATTTGGACCTAACATGACTGTCGTGTCAGCAAAAGTGCGTTTCGTCGCGTTGGCTGCTCGCGTTTGCGTGCTGGTATTGGACCCGCCAGTGCGGGACACATTAAAGGGAATGCTCCACATTTGAAGACACTGAAGCAAACATCAGATATGGTAAATGGTCTCACTTATGACTACCGGTATGTTTTTTAGTGAAAAAGACTGTCCTAGACAACACAAATTCTCTGTGTAGTAAACATGTTCCTGCTCCGTGCTCCTCATGCTCGTAAACATGCTCCATGCTCCATGCTCCATGCTCCTCGCTCCTCGCCCTGAAATGGTCTCCCCGAAATAGTAAGCACGTCTTCGCGGGTATGTAGCTCAGGAAATGATTGCCGTAGGTTTTAACAAGGGCCGGATGATCTACGCTAGGGACTACACCGAATGATCTTCAAGATGGCTATTTCGATTCAAAACCCATATAAATGTGGAATGCGCCCGTTAGTAAGTATGTCACGCCCGATAACTAGAGGGGACCTTCATGTCGACCAGCTCCTTGGTATTGGCGAATGTGCTGTCCTCGAATCACTAAGGGATCTTTAGACTTGAGTCATTGGTCGCTCCAATAATTGACTCTGAAGCCGTTGATATGTGAATGTTTTTTATCGGCCCGATGGTACTTTGCAATGTTGCATGCTGAGATAAAGATTACGACGTGGAGAATGGCACACCTTGTATCCCAGTGTACCGCTAACATCGAAGCAGAATATTGGGCTTTGAGCAATGCTTGAACCAGTGTCCAAAAACGCCAATCATTTCCAATGCGTTGGTCGCGCCGACGGAAATGACCAGACCAGCTGAGCGCACGGAAGCCGATTTGCAGCCAATTTAGCCGTGAATTAGCTGGCGAATGCCATCTTTGTGAACTCAGTGTCTGCCAAACTCGTAAGGAGCGAATACGGAGCTTCCATATTAGTACGACCATCTGTGGAGTGCCAGAAGGCGGGAGCGAGCCGGGGATCAAACGGCACACCGTTGGTTTGTGCACTCGCTCAAAATAGGGTCCATACTCCCTGGTGCTACAACAACCCTGATCCACTTTTTACGATGACGACTCTTTGTTGCAGTTACGCTGCTACTTCGAGTCCTGAGGTCGTGTTGGAACGGTTCTGTTTTAACAGATCTATCCGATTTCAGCTTGGAAGCATGTCTGGGCCCAGACGCGGATCTGACGTGATGCGCAGCTCCGGCAAACAAACCAACGGCCGCCAGGCCAACTTGCCCTTCATCATCGGCGTGGCGGGAGGCACGGCGTCGGGAAAGGTGGGCTACCTTGCGGCGTAGGGCTGGTTGTTACGATGAGAACGCTGTCCCGGCGATGGGTCTCAGCTCTCGAGAGCCGCCTGCTTCAGAAGCCGGCGATCTCGCTGGGCTGTGGCCCGTTGTTCTGTGATGACGTCGGAGCGGCGAGGGCGAGAGTTCGCCCGTCGTCGCCGGCCGGCCGCGCGTGACGAGTGCGGACGGCTCTGCGCGCAGTCGACCGTCTGCAAGCGGATCATGGAGAAGCTGGGCCAGGAGGCCATGGAGCAGGAGAACCGGCGAGTGGTGTGCATCAGCCAGGACAGCTTCTACCGCGATCTCTCTCTGGAGGAGTCGCAGAAGGCGCTGCGCGGCCAGGTCAACTTCGACCACCCCGGTGAGCCGGCGCTGGCGCTCCAGAGCCGGACGCGACGCTGGCGGGCGCGCGCTGCTGGCCGCCTTTTCGACGTGGCTGGAGCGATGTGGTGTGCACAGCCCAGCACCGTCAGCAGAGGCCGGTCGGTTGGTATCGTGCGGCGGGCGGGTGTGTGTGTTGTGGATGCTTGATGTGCCACGAAATCAGATATCTTCAGCGTAGCGTTTGTATCATACTTAACGTTTGGACATGTGGTCGAGCACACTAGTGTAACATTATCGCAATGTTTGTGGTTGTTCTGTTTGGGATGCGCGCGAGTCCAGTCTGTATGACAGGTGGCTGTGGTCGATCAGCCCGTCACGGTACATGCACAAGTGGCGGGCTGTCTTGTCTCGAGCGCACTCTGCGCGGCGCCGGCCGTCGGCCCTGCCGCCGCTCACAGCGCGCCGCCGTCCGCCGCAGACATGTTCGACGACCGGATGCTGCTGGAGACGCTGCGCGACATCCGTGATGGCAAACAGTGTCACCTGCCCGTCTACGACTACAAGACCAACTCGCGGTACGGCGGCGGCGCCCCGGCCGCCGGGCCGACCGACGCAGCTCGCGTGCCGGCCGCCCTGGGGTTCATGTCCTGGTCTCAGGGGATGACGGGCGCGGCTCACGTGCCGGCCGCTCTGGGGTTCCCGTCGGGTCTCAGGGGATGACGGGCGCGGCTCACGTGCCGGCCGCTCTGGGGCTCACGTTGGGGTCTCAGGGGATGGCGGGCGTGGCTCACGTGCCGGCCGCTCTGGGGCTCACGTTGGGGTCTCAGGGGATGGCGGGCGTGGCTCACGTGCCGGCCGCTCTGGGGTTCCTGCCTGGTCTCAGGGGATGACGGACGTAGCTCACGTGCCGGCCGCTCTGGGGTTCATGTCCGGGTCTCAGGGGATGACGGGCGTGGCTTGCGTACCGGCCGTTCTGGGACTCACGTTCGGGTCTCAGTGGATCGATGCGGCGGAGTGAGCCGTGCCAGCCCCGTCGTGTGACGGCGCGACGTCTGGCCGGATGGCACGCGGCGCCGGCTCTCTCGCGCGAGGCGTCGGGAGGGAGGCAGGGACGGCCGCGCCCCGACTGTGGGACCACCTGCCCGCCGGCACCCCTCGCCGGCTCTCTCGCGCGAGGCGTCGGGAGGGAAGGAGGGACGCGACGGCCGCGCCCCGACGGTGAGACCGCCTGCTCGCCGCCGGAGCCAGTTTGTTGTGGCCAGCCAGCTGATCTGTCTCGTCAGCGTTGTCTCCCCCTCCGGAACGGCCTGTCGCCTGGAGATACCACATGGCTGCCCCCCCCCCCCCCCGTTCATGCTTACGTCTGAGGTCATAGCCCCGGCTTGGCATTGCGGTGGGCCGGGCTCGGGGCTCGGTGCGGCGGGAGCTTATGGCGGGGTAGAGGGGGGAGGGGGGCGTGCCGTTGGGTGTGCCGTGCTGGCATGCTGTGGGGAGCCTCCCCGGCGGCGGCGGACAGGAGAGAGAGGAAAGCGGAGAGGATCATCCGGATTGATATCGGACTTTCGCCATTAGAGGCGGAAGCAAGCATTGCATAGGCATGGCGTATCAGGCCTGCATTGAAATCAGCGTGCGGTACCCAACGCTCACAGATCCCATGTGAGTGCTGATACGCAGGGTGGGGATATCAGATGGCTGAACCCCAGAAGCATGGGACCGTGGAGGTTTGCTCATGATTCTCATCGTGGAACAGAGGTACTGTTCTTCGCGTATATATCCGGAGCGCACCCACGTGTGGGCGGGTGAGCTATTGAAAGGCGTGAATGCACCGAAAAACAGAAGGAAGATCCCTGGTGGGGCAGTACAATGTAGGTCGCGGAGCGGATTACTGGGTCGTGCCACCGGAGCGCCTGTCAAGTAAAAGCCGGGGGAAGGTCGCTGTTGCCGGCTGGTGTTCTGTGTTCTGTTCTAACGAGTGGCATTTGTGCTAAAACAAGCAGCAAACACCTGCAATGAACGTTGAAGTGTGCTTGAGTCTGGATGACGCCGGGCCGACGTACCGCATGAGAGCCATGGCTCAGTGGCACAGTCGCGCTTGTAGGTCCAGCAGAGTCTGTTGCCAGTGTCTTTTGTCGGTTTCTTTGTCGGTATCGTCACCGGCGCCGGTGCCTTGTCTCTCCCCGCCGGCGTCGGTGCGGGCATGCCGCGCCCGCGCTGACGCCGGCCTCCTGGCGCCGACAGCCTGGCCGAGATGCGGAAGATCTACCCGGCCGACGTGGTGCTGTGCGAGGGCATCCTGGTGTTCTACCAGCCGGAGGTGCGCGCCATGTTCGACATGAAGCTGTTCGTGGACACGGACGCCGACACGCGGCTGAGCCGACGCGTGCGGCGCGACACGAACGAGCGGGGCCGCGACCTGGACACCGTGCTCGACCAGTACACCAACCTGGTGAAGCCGGCATTCGAGGAGTTCTGCCTGCCGGTGAGCCGGGCCGACGGCCGCCGCCGCTCGGCCAGTGCGCTCGGTGCCGTCCGGTTCAGCTCCCCACTGTCGCCCGCTCCCCGTCTCGCCAGCGCCCTCCCGCACCTCAGGCGCGGCGGTCCATTACGTTACGCCGTTGCCCGCGGTCCGCTACGGCCGCAGACACTCGGCCGGACCTCGCTGGCGGGCTGGTGTTCGCTGGTGTCGGCTGAGAGGCCGTGCGTTCGGCTCTTGATCAGGGGGAGAGTTCTGCTACTCATAATTCTATGATTTGCAACAAGCTGCTTTTGTTGTATTATTTGTTTTTGAGAGGGTTGGGACACTGCGCAGCAAACCGTCATCGATGTAGCCAATATTTTTTACTCGTAACAACATTAGTATGATCTCCTGTGAATCATAGTTTTGCACTGTGTTAGTTGTTAAAATGTCTCGCATTCATGTTCGGTGTAGGTTTCGAGGCATGCGATTCATCGTATTTCCAAGCCTCAACATTCCGTCGTCTCCCGTTATTGGCAGAAGTGAGTCTACATGTGGGAGCCGAGAGTTCCAATGCCCCCATATTCAGTCAGGACCAGAGCAGCCATTCAGCACGGGTTGCGTGTAGTGGCGGCGGCGCCCCTGACCCACGTCCTCTCCCTCGGCAGACCAAGAAGTTTGCCGACGTCATCATCCCGCGCGGCGCCGACAACACGGGTGAGTGCGGCCGGAAGGGGCGGCGGTCGCCTGCCGCGCGTGATGGGCCCGGCGGCGCCGCGCCGCCCCGGGCGGCTGCAGCCACCGCCCGCCGCGCGGCGAGCCCAGCGGCTTGTGACGCCGCCAGGCCACCCTCAGTGTCCGCCAGCCACGCCTGGCTCGCAAGCGGCCCGCCGGCGCGCTGACCTTCTGGGCAGTGCTGAGCGCGCAGTCTGGCGCGCCGGTGTGGCTAGCCTGGTGAGGGGTGAGTGACCGGCGGGGCGGCGGGCTCGGCCGGCCGCCGCCTGGCCCGACCTGACCTGACCTGACCTGACTTGACCTGACATGGTGCAGCTGCCGGGAGAGTAAGTCGAGCCGCGGCGAGAGTAGTTGTCGGCCAGTGAAGTAAGCCACTCGTCAGGGCGACGCACAGACAAGTGACTGGAGACACGACCCAGGGCCGTAGAACGCGGCATCAGCAGCCAACGGAGGAGACGAGGCTGAGCCAGGCTTTGACGGGTTTTCGAGAGGGCGACCACTGTGGCCTGCGGCGCATCGCGCGCCATAGCGTGAATTCGAAGCCGCTGTCGTGTTTACAAGACTCCAGCACTTGTTTGGGAATCCGAGATGATGCTCGGCATGCCCGTCCAACGGGACAAAGCTAATGTGCCAGAGCATTGATGCACTTTGATGCAGAATGACCTCAGTCCAGCACGGGACGCCGACAGTGCAGTGTAATGAAGCTGGCGGAGGCTGGGCCGCGGCGGCCGTACGCATTTCTCCATGGCACGACGGCTCGGCGGCCACAATGTGAAGGCTGCGTGACAACCTGCAGCAAACCCCGTGTTGTGAACGGTCTTGCTACGAGCGGCATCGCAGACCCAGGGGTCCTACGCTAACTGCGGCTATGTTTTCCATTTCAGTGGCCCGGCGGTCCGTGTTGTTCGTTACGAGCTGATGTGTATGCTTAATACTGAAGGCAACCCAATGTAGGTTTTAGGGGTGTGCTCACAGATGTTTATGGAATGTCCTTTTGAACTGAACAAGGCATCTAAGGTTATTGACATGATAATGACGTCCTTGTCGCGAGGCGGACTGGGGGGGGGGGGGGGGGGGGGGGCTGTAGCTTTATTTGACCGTTGATAAGGGCTATTTTCAATATCGGTTGTATACCGCTGGTGGCCGTATCATGGCCTTGGCAGCGCGTCACAGATTGCGCGGTCACGTGGCGTGGTCCCCCGCAGTAAGATAGCCCCCCCACGTGCTGCCAGAAAAGGGCTCTCGTCATACAGCTATCCGTATTGAATGCTCGCGAGATGATGCCATGCTCGGATAATCCGAACGCCCTCGGGATGAGGTTTGACCTTTGCGCCTGCCATTTTTCACTTCGAGGAGTTGAGAAATGATTATTTGCTTCAATGACGTGTTTGATACGCGGGCCGCCTCTGAGGAGCTGCGGGTTCGCCAGAGGGCGCACCGGGACCCGCCCCGCCCACCGGGTGCCGGCGCGGCCGCCACAAGGCCTGTGTTTATGTGCCCGCCTGGCTGCCAGGCCGGGCGTCGCTGCACCCGGAGTATTGCAGTTCTCTGCACTTCTGACATTTGGTCCGAAGCGCCTGCAAAGTTACAAGTGCGCCTTGATATATTTTTGTACAGCCTGTGACCCGATATAATTTACTTGTTTTTTATGTCATTCGTTTGCGGCCGTCGCTTGTTTCACCACAGCTCGCCACGCTCGAAAGTGTCTGCAAGCCGCGGCAGGTGGGCCGCTGGGGTGCTGTGTTCGCTGCCGACTGTTGCCGGGACCCCAGACACGACCAGCTGACACTGTTGAGACGCGTGGCGCGCCGTCGCTGACTGGCTGCCTGCTGCGGCGGTCGGCAGGTGCGGCCGGCCGGCCGGCAGCTGCGCGCGGCTGTCGGGCCGGCCAGCGTGTCCGCCGGACTGCCAGCAGCGCTGCGTGCGGGCTCGTGTGAAGGCGCTACTTCCCTTATTCCAGTGGCGATCAGTCTGATCGTGCAACATATAGAGGATTTGCTGATACAGGCGCACGAGCGCCACACGAACGGCAGCCTGGGCGGCGGCGGCGGCGGCGGCGGCGAGCCGGCCTGCCGGGAGCGCCGCTCGCGCTCCACCTCCGAGACGCGCATCCGCTAGAGGGCGCACCGCCACCCGCCGAGCGCCGCTGCTACCGCCACAGATGGCGTATTTTTGTACTCGCCGATATCCACTTCAAGGGCTGCCGTTTTGCTATACCAGTGTTCATATAACAGTATTTACACCGCTGCGGTAACAATTCCACTTTCTTACGTGCTTTATACGTAGCCGGTGCCAACTGAAATCCACTGCTGTGCATTTGTACTTCGGAGTGATGCCGTGCGCTTGGGGAGGACTCGCGCTGCCTGCTCGCAGGTAGCGGTGTATTTAGTCGGCCGGCCGGATGTGTTTGGTTTTGTGGCGACTGTCCCATTTGGCCCGCCAGCCTCTGCCGGTTCGGAGTGGTGTGTTGACTGCCGACGTGAGGAGCGGCGCACAGGCCGTCGCATCCTCCGCGCGCCGCCTGGCGGCCGTCTGCCTGGCCTAGGTTAAGTGGCGCCTCCAGTGGGCGGCCGGTCTTGGTTACGGTGGTTTTGCGATCGGCGTTCTGTTTATTTTTGCCGCGCCGCCAGAATGCGGCGTGCTGCGGCGTATCGCCTGTGCCAAACGGGGGACTAGGCGCCGGCGCTGATCCAGTCACCGTCCAGGCCACAAGGGAGGCGTACTGTAAAGTGTGTTCTGACTCAAGGTCCTGGGACTTTTTGTTCTCGCGGTGTTAGCGGGTATTGGACGGTTGGTTCGGGCGTTACAGGCGGAGAGAGAAAACACGCTTACGTTGGGAGACTTAGCATGACACCCATTGTGACTTGGTGGCGTACTCCGCACGGACCTGGGGCTGTGTATTATGAGTGATGTGAAGACATAATGTCGTTTTTGTGAATAGCTGCGCAGCGATGGCTCAAGAGGTGTGTTAGGTTCACTGGGTTTGCACAGGTGTAGGTGTGTGTGCGGTCGTCGTTTCGGATATGCTGCAAATACATGGACGACAGGAGACGGCGATCGGACGTTCGGGCGTTTGTTGGCACCCCGATGAAGGCGGTGTGTGCGCTGCCTCCGTGATCGCGGGGAGGCCTGCAGCAGAGTCGGACGGACCGGGCCGCGCCGCCACGGGCCGATGCTGGCGCGGGAGACAACTCCCGGCGCCCGTATCCACAGACACGGGCGCTGTTTTGAACCCAAACAACACGAGCGAAAAGGTACGCGTTGCAGACGTCTCTCATGCCTGTCGGGGCTTCAGTTGTGTAAGGCTGTCTGTCGGCCGTGCCGCGCCACTCGGCGGTGCCCATTCTGTGGAAGCTGTGCGGGCGAGCCCGTCCCGCGGTCATGCCCCGGTCCGCCTGGCTCTGCCGCCCGCCAGGCCGCGTCTCACCCACCGCCCCTGTTGCAGTGGCCATGAACCTGATCGTGGAGAACATTCGGGAGCGACTGCGGGAGGACGCCGGGCGGGACAGCAGCCGCGCCTCCGGGAGGGACGCCGGCCGCCGCCGCAACGTCTCCGATAGTCAGCTGTTCACGCCCCACTAGAGGCCGGCCGGGCGCGGCGCCGCCAGCGGCCGAGGCCGAGGCGGACGTCGTGCCGCCCCGGGCGGGAGGGCACCTCTCCACCGTCTGGTCCCGCTGCACCGCACACCGTGACGCGCCACCGCAGCAGGCGCGGGCAGTACAAACGGCCCGGGCCGTCTCTAGTCTTCTTTTGCCGTGCTTTCACCGCCGTTGCTGGTCCAGCCCGCTGCGTGGCAGTGCCGCGGGCGTGGCTCCGGTGAGAGGAGGCCCGATTACTCGCGGGAAAGCTGCTTGGTGCGACGACCGGCGCCCGCCGCGCACACTGTCCCCACCTGGCGGCCGCTTTGCACACTCGTGTGTTGTGCGCCACGTGCACGTCCCCGCCCCACGAACAACGAGCAAGTCGATGCTGTCGGACTTGCGCCGTCCCTGCTTCATGTTGAATTGAAGGCGTAGCTATGTTGGCGGCAGTTGACGGCACTGACGCTGGCCTAGAAGATGCAGGGGGCAGCCAACCCTAACAGGAATAACAGGAATAGGGGGGGGGGGACCTAACAGGAATAGTAGAGCGTCGACTGATTTTCTAGTGCGTAGTCTTGCCCGCGCCAAAGATGGTATATTGTATGGAGCCGGAGCTAGCCAGTTTTCGGAACCTGTATAAGATCTACAAAGTCTTCATTAGCGTCTTGACCTTGTTCAACGTGCTTAAAGAAGAAAGCCAAGTCGGCATTAGATGCAACTTTTTGAGGCTGGACACGGTGTCGTGGCGCACGGTTAGGCACGCCCATGCTGTGGTGTTGTCAATAGTACGCGCAGCGGAGGTGTGCGTTCTGCCGCAAACTGCTCTCATTCACAGTATTGGGTTTCATTTGCGGCATTCGGTATTCATTTGCCGGCCACAAATGTCATCTGGCGTGTGCGCGGTGCTTGTAGAATGGAGGTGGACGCTTTGCCGGCCGGCGCGTGTCAGACGCTCGATCTTCTGTGAGATACGCCAAAGCAGCTTCCGATCAAGCCTATCGTTAATCTAGTCGATCTGGTCCCGCTGTTGCATGGAACAATTTTTAACGTAAGGAAGCCTCGCCATTTTATTAGCTATTTAGCGTGTCGTAATAAGTGTACCAAAGCCTTCTCACTTTTGCATAGTAACAACCGCTAGCAGTGGCTGTGGACCCAGAGAGGGCGACGGTGGTCGATGGAAGATGAGTTGGGTGATAAGAACTGTGCATTGATTCGAAGTATGGAGCTTTGACGAGCTGTGGTTTGCTGCATCGTCGTTTTTAATGACGGTGTGAGCCGCAGACCAGCGTGGCGCCAGTTTTTTGCGTGCGACCTGGAGGGAGCCTGGCGCCGCCCGGTGGGGGAGCGCAGCTGGGGAACGACCGGGTCAGGTCGTCTTGCTCGCGCTGCGGCCGGCGCAAGCTGCAGCTCGCGACTCATTCAACACAGTTTTGATCACGTGTGTGGAATCTCATATTACGAACGGCAAATAAAGGCGTGTGGCGTTTCATGTATCTGATGTGGTGCGCACTGATTGGGGGCGGCAGGTTCGCCTTGGAAGTTCCGTGGCGTCCGAGCCGACGGCCTGATGCGGCTCCGGCTCCGGCTCCGGCTCCGCTCAGAGGTCGCTGCGCAGCGAACGGCAGGAGGTCCACGGGCAGGCCGCGTGACGAGCGGGGCTCAGTCGGTCCGGCCTCACCGAGTCAGCGTGTGCCGAGGCACCGGTACACGTCCGCTCTACGGTCGATGAGGGACAGTGTCCGCCCTCTCTCCCTGCCCCAGCCTGACGAAGATCGGACGGCTGGCGATACGTACGTCGGCAGGTACTCCGCCGCCGCCTGCGGGCACGCCCGGTGGCGAGGCGGCGGCCGTGAGCCGCGACGGGGCCGCCACCTGACGGCCGCGGGGCGGCGCCACCGGTCCGCGGCGCCCGTCCAGCGTGCTGGCGAACAGGCCGGAGGAGGTGCGCGCTGCTGACGGCGCCGGCTCCGGCGCCACGCTGGTCTGCACGCTGCCGGCGAGACCCGGCCGCAGGGTGACGAACGGCCGTGCTGAGGGCCACCGCTGGTCGGCGTCGGATGCTCTCCACCAGGAGCGGGTTGGGGACGTGCCCTGCCAGCCGTCTGCCGGCGGCGAACCCCGCCAGTACTCGGGCAGCGGCCGTCCCTGCCACCGGCTCGCCGTCGCTGTCGACCCCTGCCAGCTGCTCGACAGCGGCGCCTGCTGCCATCGGGCCGCCGGGGAGGGTGCTTGCCATCGCTCCTGCCACCGCCCGGAGAGGGCCGACCCACGCCACCGGTCCTGCGGCGGCGCCGCCAGGCCGGTCCACAGGCTCCGCGGTGGACCGGCCAGATTCCAGCCGCCGGGCGCCGCCGAGCGGCGGGGATCGGACGGCTGCCGGTCGACCTCCGGCCAGCGGCGCCAGGCGGCCGGCGGCGGCGCGGTCTGGCGCGGCCGCAGCGCCAGGTGCACCATCGGCAGCCTCTCCACCTGCTGAACACGGACACGGTCGGTACTCCCGGACTCCAATGTCCTCGGACAGAGCAACCCCGCCACCATCGCCACCGCCGCCACTACCGCCAGCCGGCGCTGATGGAGGGCAGGTGACACCCGTATATCAAAACTGCAGCCAGCTGACAATGGAAAACTATCACACAATGCGACGTCCCAGGGACCAATAATCATAGTTCAGCACGCTCGAGAGCAGTGGCAGGCGCGCTACCGCCGCGTGTGGTCCTTACCGCTGACGACCGGGCGAGAGCTAGACAGGCGACGGCCCATCGGAGCGGCAGCGCCATGGTGAGGGCCTGAGCAGCGAGCCGGGGCCAGCCGCGGACGCCGTCTGCAGCCCCGCCGACCACGGCGCGCCTTTTCTCGGCGGGCGGCGACCCTGGGTGAGGCCCCGGCGCGCCGCGCGAGGTCACGTGCCGCCGGCGCCGACACGTGACGCGTGACACGTGACCGGCCGAGCGGTGTCAACAGGGCGGGACCAGGGGCGCGTGCCGCCGGGTTTTGCTCGCCACGGAGGCCGTGTGGGGGCGGCACAGCCGCCGAACGCCAACTGCTCGAGCGCGACAAAGCAAACACACGTTTCCGGACCGACGCAAATGCGCTGTGGTCGTGGGAACTGCCGCGTACCGCACACCACAGGCAAGCACCGATTGAAGCCTTTCAACATGGCTTTCCTTGGCGTGGTCCCACTAATCGGATCGGACACCTCGACATGTCCGTCCCTCAGACGCACGAATACCTGATATGATTGAGAGTTGCCCGAATGACACGAATGATTGAGAGTTGGAGATGCTTTTTGGAAATGATCTTATTCTGGCAATAGTGTATCGAGACTGCCTTCCTTGTATGTGATGAATGCGTTCATCCGACGCCAAATTATTCGCATGCGTGCAGCATTTTGCCTCTGCCGCGGAATATCAGCGCATCCCAATCAGAAACCGATGGATGCTGCTGTGCACAATGCTGTCCATACCACTGCACCGTGTGATTTGATCATTTTTCAAACGGTTTGGACAGCTATCTTGCGGGTTTTACAGTCCCAGGCGCTAATGTAACAAGTGTGCTCTTTGGGCTGACCGTAGTGTAACATACAGATGGGTTGTGCGGGCGCATGCTCAGCACCCACACACAGTCATGTAAGGACAGTCAGCAAATGCTGCACGATGCCAGCAAATTGTACTCTCGCGACCCACGTGAGTTGGACCGAACAAAACAAGCCCGGTACTCGCCAGCCCCACGCAGTCGCCTTGCACCGAACGGCTCACACGCGGCACGCGGCAGTACCGAGGCATCTGCAGTCGAGGCCAAGCCGCTCGCGACTAGGGCCGATCGGCGCTGTCAGCCCCAGCCCGCGGCGGGTTCCGTTCGACGCGCAGACTCAGTCAGGGTGCGAGCCGCTGCCCGGACAGAACCTCGGAAGAGACAGCGGGTCAGGAGACGGGCCGCTATCCAGTCAGTCTCGGAAGACGACAGTGGGTCAGGGGACCAGCCGCCATCCAGTCAGAGCCTCGGAGGAGACAGTGGGTCAGGGGACGAGCCGCTGCCGGGTCAGAGCCTCGGAGGAGACAGTGGGTCAGGGGACGAGCCGCTGCCTGGTCACAGCCTCGGAGGAGACAGTGGGTCAGGGGACGAGCCACTGCCGGGTCAGAGCCTCGGAGGAGACAGTGGGCCAGGGGAGGAGTCGCTGCCTGGTCAGAGTCTCGGAGGACGACAGCGGGTCAGGGGACGAGCTGCTATCCAGTTAGAGTCTCGGAGGACGACAGCGGGTCAGGGGACGAGCCGCTATCCAGTCAGAGTCTCGGAGGAGACAGTGGGTCAGAGGACGAGCCGCTGCCGGGTCAGAGCCTCGGAGGACGACAGCGGGTCAGGGGACGAGCCGCCATCTAGTCAGAGTCTCGCAGGACGACAGCGGGTCGGGGGACGAGCCGCTATCCAGTCAGAGTACCTTGGAGGACGACAGTGGGTCAGGGGACGAGCCGCTGCCTGGTCAGAGCCTAGGAGAGCGATCGCGGTGGTCGGTATAGCCCGCTGCAAATGGAGGTGACTGGTACCACTGCTGTAGCTCAACAAGCCACAACAGGTGGGAAACAACGCAGGTCACATCAATGGTCAAGAAGTACGGACAAGAAACATCAGATAATGACTAACGAAGGGAGAATCAAGACTCAAACGAAACGAACGCAAGACAAGATGCGGGAAGTGTTGCCTGTACTGAAGCATCCGGCGGACGGAAGGCCGGAGTATAAATGAGACCAAAAAAAAAAAAAAATGAAAGCAGTTGAGTCAGTGTGTGCACATCTCCAAGCTATTTCATGCGGAACTTCCCAAGGTCATGTCAGTGTGACGAGCCCCGCCACCCGGCATCTGTACTCACTCAGTGCGCTGCAGAAGCGCCGATATTACGGATACCTGCCACCGCAATTTTGCGCGTCGATGCGGCGGCCCCGTGTACCCCGGCGGGCCCGGAAGCCGGTCCGGTGCGAGCCGGCCCTGCCGTGCCAGAGGCCCCGATTACCGCCGTCAGCGGCCCGCCCCGGGCGGGAGGCTCTCCACGCTCCGCCGAGCCTGGGCCCGGCATAAATCAGGCGGCAGCGGGGCTGGCGTCAACACTTAAGCAACGTCTGCCGACGGCAGAGCTTGCCCTCGCGACGAGAGAGGATTCCGCGGCAACTCGCCCCAAGGTAATATTGACTGGACGCTGATCACCGAACGTATCGCTCACAATACAACCGCTTCTCTGCCACTGCACGCTTGAGACGCAACTGGCCTTCTGAACCGCCTTCTTCCGAGCCCCACCGAGAGACTTCAGGCTCGCCTTGTGCCCGCGGTTTGTGACGGCGGTTTGTGACCCGCAGTTTGTGGTGGCGGTTTGTGACCCGCGTCCGCCGCCGTATGACGCCTGCGTTTGACACGCCCGTCCGCGGCAGATGCTCTGGCTGTGGAGTGGCCTGCTGGCGGCCGTCCTGCTGCCGAGCAGGGCAGCGGCAGCCGGACATACCAACGGCAGCAACGGCGGCGGAGGCGGCGGAGGCGGTGCATCGCTCGACGACCGCCTGCTGCTGCTGTTCTCCGGCGGCGGCCCGCCGCCGGCCGCTGCCGGAGAGGACGGCGACCAGGCCCCGGCGACGGAGGACTCTGGCCAAGGCCCCGCCGTCGCGCAGGATCGGGACCCAGCCGGGCCGCACGCGGCAGACGGCAACCACAAGGACGCTGTGCACCACGGACATGACAGCGCCGGTGGGCCGCGCGCGTGTCCCGCCGCCGGGGGCCACACGAGCTCGCACGATCACTGGGACTCGGCGCATGGTTCCGGGTACGTGTACGGGCCCGCCTCAGGGCGCGGCTATGGCGGAGGTACGCGGTACGAAGCTCCGTGGTACCCTGGCGCCGGTCACGGGCGCACCCGGCCGACCGACGGCCACGCCCACCACAGAGGTCCCGGCCACATGATGGCGGGCGGCGGCGGTCCGTGGGCTCAGGAGTACGGTGGCTATCGTCCAGACCAGGGCATGTACACAAGAGACGATCCGATGACCGCAGCGTACATGGCTGGCTACGCTCGCGGATTGGAGGCAGCTGGGGGCTCCGGGATGCACGTCAACACGGGAAAATACGGACAGCCCAGCATCAATGACGTCAGACCCGGCATGACGTCATACAATCACGCCGGAAGTCACGCACATGGTCATGGCATGATGCGTGATCATGCCATGACCGGCGCTAATACGTGGAGCCATCGCCACGCGCCAGGCGGCCACGAGGCGGGCCATGTGATGGGTGCGGGCATGATGCCCTGGGGCGTCGCTCCGGCGGGAGGTTATGGGCTCCGCCAGGCGAAGTACGAAAGCAGCGCCCGCGGCGGCAGAACAGCCCGCGAGGACGACAGCCACGCAGCAGCTGACGCCGCCCCCATGCCGAGCGCTGCCAACAGCTCGGCCCGCGGCAGAGCAGCGCCGCCCGACGTCCAACTCGCGCCCTACGTCATCAAGGCGGCCGGCGACGGCTACGAGACGCGGTACTACCCGGCCTCGCGCTGGGTGTGCGTCGCCGGGCCGGGTAGCGCTGGCTCGTGCCTGGGCGCCGTGCCGCGCTGCCGGCGCCGCCTGGAGCGCTACGCAGCCGGGGAGAACAGCGAGAGGCGGCCGCTGCGGCCGGCGGCGCCGCTGCTGCTGCTGCTGCGGCGCGGCCCGCCGCCGGCCGCCGCGCTCTGCCGCTACCTGGCACCGGCCGATCAGGCGGCGCCGCCGCCGCCCCTCCAGACGAGCATATTCCTGCTGGACCAGCCCGACACGCGCATGCACGTGCGCCTCCTGCGGCGGGACGAGGCCGGCCTGGGCCCCGTCGGCTGGCGAGAGCGGGGCGCGCAGCTGGAGCGCGGGCTGCGCAGAGATGGCGCCGTGTTCGACGACTCCCGGCTGCTGGTGCTCTTCTACCCGCCGGCGGCTGACGCGCGCGAGGTGGCGTTCATTGCGGAGGAGGAGACCGGTGGGCGGAGCGGAACTAGCGCGTAGTCTGCTCGGCGCAGGCCACCAACTGACAGTGTAATCCGCTGAGAGGCGCGTACGTGTCCACCATGTGCACCGTCCTCGTAGCTAGGGACCTCGTTGGGTCCATCTTTCTCCAGATTTGCACCAATACAACAACGCAGTAAAGAACGACCGTCCTTGAGCACGGAAGCGGCGTTATCAGTCCCACCGTAACGCGCGTCACACCGGTTCGCATCCGCACTGCTCATCGCATCACACACCGTTCATCACATACGTTCATCACACCCGCAACCAGTCATGGCCTGAACCAAAACCATTCCACTGTCGACGTCGGAGAATCAGCCAACCTCGCCAGATCGGTCATCCTGTATCCTGGTCGGAGCCGAGAAAAGCCCACCTCATTTTGCACGTGCCATGGACGCATTGTCAGCGCACTTCCATGGCAACATTTAATCACGGCATCGTTCCATTGGTGTCCGAGGCCACCACAGGTAGTCGCCCTGGTGACATATCAGTCCGTCATCCGCGTGAACGGATAAGGCAAGTACCTTTGAGGGTGGTTCAGGCACACACACAACGTGCGAGAGGACGCACACGCGGGCACATAACATGAACCCACGTGAAGCGCACTCAACAGTCACAGAACGTTTCCAGTGATACATCAGAATCATGATTATGCTTTCCATTACTCGTGTGGACCCAGATTCACCAAGCATATCGATGTATTTGTCAGGCACCCAGTCACATCGATACGCATATATAATGCTGGTTTCCGCTGTCAATGTTGGAGCAGACATTTTGCCAGCAGTCTGTACTGGCTCCTAGGCGACCCACCACAGCTACTAAACGTAGCTGGGCGCCCCGAGATCCGACTAAAACAACCCTGCCGCAGCTGTTCCAAAACATATCACCCAGCAAGTAAAACAAGTACCAATAACCAAGTGTTAGTACATTCACATAATCAATATTGTACCTTGCGATTGCATGGCGTTAAGCTCCCATTCCAAAAATATATCACGCACATACCATGGCAAGGTCAACGGCCAATGCACGTCATGGCTATTTCCCTTGTATTGAACAAAATGGGGAAAAAAAATACTGAGTATTGAGAATGCACCACGGAGCAGATCACTGCAGCAGGGCTGTGCGCCACTGACACAGGGGTGTAGCCGTCTTGGCAGCTGCAAGTGGGCTCCAGGCCCCTCCCCTCCACAACTTTGGGAAGGAAGTGGATCAAAGCTGGGTGGAAACCCGTTGTTAGGTGAGCTCTAGAGGGCAGGTTTAGCCAGTTTTCGTGCTCTTCTCCCCTAAAAATAGCTATATTGAAAAACTACATTCCTGTGCTGACGGTGACCTCTTGAACACAGTGTGTCATCCTCATGTGCGGCGCAAAACACGTGAGGCTGGTCGTAGAACACCTGAAGTAAGCCAGCCTGGATCGGTTCCCCACAACCCATCCACTACAGCGACTGCTTCAGCTTGTGCATGAAGAACCAGTAGATGCAGAAGAGGAAGCCGGGTGGCGAGAGCACGTCGTCCTGGCTGACGTACTGACGGACCTGGTCTATGGTCATCTCCACCACCTCGATCACCTCGCCCTCCTCAGGGTTGCCGCCACCTGCGCACAGGGGCAGAAGCGCAGCTGTGATGCAGGCGCAGGGTCAACATGACGGAGCCCTCACCAAACGGATGAGCAGCGGCGTTGCATACCACACAGATATATATATATATATATATATATATATATATATATATATATATATGCAGTCTGTGTGTGAGTGAGACTCAGAAACTCCCCATCTTGTGAAGATGAACTCAGGTCAGAATACGAACTCCCTAATCAAATTTAGGTAGAAATTACTTACAACGAACCAGATTACGTCCCAATGTTAGTAACACGACTATATTTTGTCTGTCTATGCACTAGCCTGTTCCAGTTGATGCCAGTTTCGTAAACGGTGACGTTGTAGACTTCTCAGCCCATGACTGGCACACCCATGAGTGAGGTAGCACAGAGATCAGTTCAGGATGTGCACAGTACTTTCACCCACATCGCACATCTAGTTTCATGGTTCTACCTGCTGCGGTTGAGAAAATCTGTTCCACAATCTTACAAACGCTGGAATACGGGCGGACGACAGCCACCACATATTTGGTTTGTGCACTTATGCTGCGTGAGAGACCGCAAATATCCATCTGCACTGTTGCTAGTACGACTGTTCGTTGTCTCGTCGGTTAGTATGAGTATATTGCAGATCTGGGCCGGTTCCCGACACGCGGTCTTCAGCCTCCCCCTCCCGCGGTGGGAAGGTTTACGCTCCCTACGTTAATGATACGGGGAGGAGTGATGATGCTGGTGAAGCAACACTGCGTGAATAACGCCTTATCAAATACACCATAGTTAGCATCTACATCATTATTCATTGTCATATCTGTGAAAAGTACAAAAAGGTGACATACTCCCTTCAAATCGAAATTGTCACTTGTACAAAAACCGGAGTTGGAAAACATCTTTTCAATGTCATTGTGTTAGACCATTATGATGTAATGGCCTTTAATACACACTTCGCCAACAGTTTTAAATAAGCCATCCCGACCTCACCGGACCCTTCAAAAGCATGGATCACCTGCAGTCCCAAAGACGCACGTGTGAAAACGAGGCCTAGGGAACGTCCCGCCAAGCTACTTCATCGCATCACCGCATGCCCTATGGTCCTCCGAACTTCAATTTCTGACCCACGGGGTGTTTCAAATTCAGTGACAGGTATCCAAAACTTCTAACATTTTACACCAAAGTAAGATTCATTCTCAACAAAAAGAAAGTAACACCATCACACGAAAACACGCCACAACAAAAATGCTACGGAAGACGGTATTTTCGAGTCACATTCGAATTACATGCCAAGGTGGGTTACCGACGAGCACTGAGCTGGTATCTGACGAAGCAAAGTTGTCCGTCTGGAGATGCAGATCATACAATTTAATTTCAGACATAGCAGTGACTCCGGCTGCGACAGCAGCGCCCCCCCCCCCCCCGCGCGTGCTGGCGTGTTACCAGGGCCGGTGCGGTCCGTGTCGGTGACGGACACGTGAAACACGGTCATCAGGTCGCCGCTGGTGCCCTCGTTGCATCTGCAACAGGCCCGGTCTGTGTCGGCTCGGGCGGGGGCGGCGGCTCTCACCTGTCGCCGTGCGCTGCTCATCCGCCACGGCGGCGAAATACAACGACATCCTCGACCCGGTCAGGCCCACCGACCCCCTGAAACCGGCAGTGGCTGTCACGGCTGCCCGCCAGTGCGCCAGTGCTGACACACCGCAAACCACGCACGGACAAATCCCGGACAATTACACGGCCTGGTAAAAAGGCCAGCATTTGTTGACCATCGTCGGCCGTAGAAGCATTCACAGACGGGGGACCACCATGGAAGCTCGGCGCGTTTTCATCAGCGGCAGCGCACTCACACAAACGACTTGATGCGCTCGAACCGGTCCAGCGGCACGTCGTAGCCGCACTCCTCGAGCACCTCCTCGCGGGCGATCTCCAGCAGCGTCTTGCGCTTGTCGACACAGCCGGCACAGAGCTCCAGAGTGACGCCGCGGGAGCCGGGCTGGCCGGCGGCGTCTGCCGGCCGGCCCAGCTCCACCTGGGACGGGTCGGTGCAGGCCGAAGACGCCAGGCTGCCCAGGTACACCGCTGCCGGCCGCGGCGACGCCAGGTGTCACACGGCGAGGACGCACATCACGGAACACCAGGCGACAGATATGAGAGCAGTGGCTGGGGAAGCGGTCGAGTGCTGCCCGATACAGCTCAAAATTGTGGTAGCAGGGGAGGGGCGGAGGTCTGGAGCCAGACAGGCAGCCATTGCCTGCCAACCGTTGCCTGCCAGCCTGGTCCCGAGTGAGATCGACAGTGACTCCGAAGTTGACGAAAATTGTGCTGAGTCATTGCGCAGTCGACTTTTTTACAAACTTGCATGGGCTGGAGCCGAGATTCAGTCAGCTCTGCGGACCGGAAGCAGCAAGGAGTCTTGGACTCAAATTAAAATGCAACTGACAGTCCATGTTCTTATTCCAAGAACGTTTACATAAAGAGCAAACGCAGCCTTAGATATACTGTCACCTTAAAGGGACGTCATACAGATTTATCTTCAGCACATAGAACGGGTGTGGATCGAGCGGGTGCCTGGCTTCCGGTTGGCGACGGTAAGAAAGCGGCTGGAGCCGAATAGTCAACTTAATGCTGGACGTCTTGGCCCACACATCCCCAGTGACGGATCCTGGCCAGAAACTTCGACGATGAGCCAGCAATGCCTGCATATTTGACGCAGAACTGCTGTCCAAACCCAAGATACGCACCACACCAGGCGCAGTTACACAGAATGAGTATCGAACACGCCTCTTAGACTTCGACCATTAGGTGCAAATCTGTCTGAAGAGGAGAAGGGGAGGAGCGGAGATCTGAAGCCTCCATACATGAACATGCAATAGCATCCAGTGCTGCCGCTGTCTTTTCTGAGGATTCGCAGCCACGTTGGTTCCGCTTAGTTCAGGTCGGCTTCTTACTTAAGTACCAAACCTTAAATACCTGACGTTTCTACAAGAGATGATACTTTCGTTCACCATAGGCTCACGGCGATCACGTTCACGACGCTCCGTTGTTATGTGGCCATTGTCCCCGCCGATTTTTATCGCTGAGTTTCATCATTTCACAGACGACTTTGGTCTTCTGCATTTGCAAGTTATTTTTGGATAAGGCATTCCCCGTGTGCTTTTGCAGTACAAAATTGCCGGTGACATTTTTACCGGTGGTTTTAGCCACTTACGGTCATCTGCAAACGATACTGTGCTTGCTGTCTATGGGTACACAATATTTTGTCCCCCACGATGTTTTTGTTGCAACATTTTACTTACAAGCACTTACCATGCGACCATCTGCTAAAGAATATGCTAACCTGCACGGGGTTGTTAGCAGTCATTGCAACAATGGCGGAACAAGGAACAAACCTGGTCGAAATTGGCGAACAAAGACCAGCACATTTCTGCTGGTATTATGAATCAGAACAGCTACAGCATCATGAACCTTCATCAGGTCCCACGATTTTGCGACGCCATTCTGAAAGAAAAGGAATCAGTAATACGTTCAAGTGGTGAAAAACGGTGCAGATCTTGTGATGCTATAGGCTATATTTTTCTGTAACAACCAGCACTGATCACCCACTGCATCACGTCTGTACAGGAGGCACTGAGCCTTGCATGTGCCACAAAAAACAATGATCTGCATTCACATCCAGAGAACAACACTACATTTGACCCATAGCAGCAATATCATGAGTCAGATGCAGAGGCAATGTCATGATTCATGTTGGGAGCATGTGGGGACATGATACATGGTAGAGGGGTCTGCAATAACTGTTTGAGGCATCAACATTTACCACGATCACTGGCTTCTGTTTGAGACACATATGGGCAGTCATTGGAATTCCCCCAAAAAACCAGTCACTCACCAACTGTGTTGACCTTGTGAGATGATATCCAGTACTCATATTACAAGGATTTGATTCCAGACAGCTTCTTTTGAATAAGGCCTGATTGGGCTAATAAACCCACGCATAGCAAGCCATAGCAGGATCATTGATCCACCAGGGTTGTGGGAGCTCGGTTGTTTGCCATCATAGTTATTTAAGTTCCAAGGCAAGAGTTAAGATGACCTGTTTTACGGTGTAGGTGTACTTTCCTACCTAACGTTAGAAAAAATCATTGCACACCATTCGTCGTGTTTAAGGCGGCACAAATCGTAAATAATCTCAAAACAGGTAGAATCATGCTCCTACCTTCGAATTTCAATAACTTCGATGGCGGGCTCCGAGCGCCGCGCGCACCGCACCGCCTGGACTCCCCAGCGCCGTTTCTGCGTTGCCGTTGCGTAAATACAATATTTCTGCTTACCAAGAGCTCTACAAAATGTACGGGACCAAAGTAAACCATTCGTCGTGTTTAAGGCGGAGCATATCGTAAATAATTTCAAAACAGATAGAATCATGCTCCTACCCTCGAATTTCAATAAATACGATAGCGAGTTCCCGAGCGCCGCACGCACCACACCGCACCGCATCGACTCCCAAGCGCCGTTTTTGCGTTGTTGCGAAAGCACAATATTTCTGCTTATCAAGAACCATAAAACATGTACGGGACCAAGGTAACAATAATAAAGCAACCAAAATCTGGTCCAGAACATATCCTAAACTAGCCTAACCTAACCTAACCAAACCTAACCTAACCTAACCTAACCTAACCTAACCTAACCTAACCTAACCTAACCTAACCTAACCTAACCTAACCTAACCTAACCTAACCTAACCTAACCTAACCTAACCTAACCTAACCAACCTAACCTAACCTAACCTCCCCACCCTATATCCCCTTCAACCCAGCATCCCATAGCTAAGCTAAGCTAAGCTAGCCTGACCTGACCTGACCTGACCTGACCTGACCTATCCTAACCTAACCTAACCTATCCTATCCTATCCTAACCTAACCTAACCTAACCTAACCTAACCTAACCTAACCTAACCTAACCTAACCTAACCTAACCTAACCTAACCTAACCTAACCTAACCTAACCTGAGCTTAGATATAAGCTCATAGACCTTATGAGCTTAGATATAAGCTAATAGACCAGAACCTAAGCTTAGCTAAGCTAACCTAACCTAACTAACCTAACCTAACCTAACCTAACCTAACCTAACCTAACCTAACCTAACCTAACCTAACCTAACCTAACCTAACCTAACCTAACCTAACCTAACCTAACCTAACCTAACCTAACCTAACCTAACCTAACCTAACCTAACCTAACCTCACCTCACCTCACCTCACCTCACCTCACCTCACCTCACCTCACCTCACCTCACCTCACCTCACCTCACCTCACCTCACCTCACCTCACCTCACCTAACCTCCCCACCCTATATCCCCTTCAACCCAGCATCCCATTGGCATCCATGTTCCACGCCATATATAGGTGCCATATAGTGAGCTTTTATTTAGCTGTCATGTTCTCATTTTGCTTTACATTCCCCACCCAATCCCCCTGCAACCCATGGTCCCGTTGGCGTCGAGGATCAAATTTCATGGATTCTTGTCGCCTTGGCCCGGCACATTTTTATGGTTCTTGATGCTGCTTGATGCACAGTAATGTTGTGACCCGCGCAGTAATGGCGCCGGTGTCGCGGGTGCTGTGTGTGTGCGGCGCTCGGGAGCTCGCCATCGTAATTATAAAAAAATTGAAGGTAAGATTATGAATCTACCTGTTTTGTGCTTATTTATGATATGTCCTGCCTTAAACACGACGAATGGTTTACTTTGGTCCCATACATTTTGTAGAGTTCTTGGTAAGCAGAAATATTGTATTTACGCAACGGCAACGCAGAAACGGCGCTAGGGAGTCCAGGCGGTGCAGTGCGCGCGGCGCTCGGGGGCCCGCCATCAAAGTTATTGAAATTCAAAGGTAGGAGCATGATTCTACCTGTTTTGAGATTATTTACGATATGTCCTGCCTTAAACACGACGAATGGTGTACAATGATTTTTTCTAACGTTAGGTAGGAAAGTACACCCTGACCTGTTTTACAACTATTTACAATATGTTCTGCCTTAGAAACAATGACTGATGCACGATGCTCTTTTTTAACATTAGGTATCAATGTATACCATAACCATCTACTTTAAGTCGGAGGAGGGGCTGGAACCCAAGTTGGGAGGGGGGGGGGGGCAAAAGCCATCAAACTGCATAAAAAATTCCTGCTGTGATTATTGGGGACAAGGCCCCGAGCTGGGTCCCCAATATCGAACTGCATAGAAACCACACCCCTGCTGTAATTATTGGGGACCGGGCCCCGAGCCGGATCGCTCACAAGGTAACTCATGATGTGATTGGTAATGTACGCGACCTGCATATCAAAAGCATACCTGTTTGTAATGCATGCGTAGTGGTTTGACGTAGTGTGACTCTCCGAGAGGCTCAGTTGACACATCCGTGATATTATCCATGTTGTACAGTCGAACAAATGCCGGCCGGCCCCCGACTCTAGCCCAATCCCCAACAGTGTCGACCCACGGAGCTCCGCGCACCAAATGCATTGGATAAATAATGGACGAAAACGTAGCACCCACGCCACTAATGTATTCTAGCTGTTTTCTTTTCTTTTCGAGCGCCCCACTCTCGTCAGGTCTCAATTTTGCGCTTCTCGTTCGAGACAGACATCGCATGACATGGGCCCGCTGGACTCGGCAAGCATCTAAGAAATAGACGTTCGTAAGAGATACGCAGGCAGATAGAGAGTGACTTACGCAACATCACCTGCCTATCTGGGGCAAATGCAAGGGGTGCTGGGGACGTAGCGGGGTGCCGTCCCTAAAACCGAATACATTAAAATTCGCATTACATTTGGATTTCGTGTGACCGCGTCAGATCTCAAAATATGACTTCAAACAAGCTTTGTTCTAAGTAAAACCCCTACAGGATGCACCCTGACTTCCACCATTCATCCTCATTGTCTACGCGAGAAAAACAGACCCATGTTCAATGCCAACCAAAACAAACTAAAAGCGAGTTTGCTCGAGGCATCTTGACAGCCACGTAACGCAGCATCGCCACCACTTACCAACGTATATTGTTCACAATGACGTCGCGCATCACCTGGATAAATCCACTCATAGCACAGGGAACGCAAGCAATGGAATAGTTCAGGACGCTACTTGTATCTAGCTACGGTCAATGTAAGGCCGGTGAATGCATGGCTACATGCTTTACTTATGCTGTCCACACGAGCACCTCACCAAGATGAGGAGTGCTCACCAGGCAGCCGAGAGGCTTCTAGCCGACAGCGACGACACAGCTGGGCCAGGCACGACCACGCAACGCACTCACTGGCGTGTTCCCGAGACTTAGGCGCCAACCCAACCTGTGCATCGCTTCATCCAGTGACAGCAGAAAAAACGACGCCGCAGTACACGGCCATTAGGTCAATGAGTCAAACTGGTATTGACCTGGCATCATCTCCGCCAGGCAGGACAGGACTAGCGATTACACAAGCACCACAACCACCAACATCAGACAAGGGGAAGTACGATGCAACACGATCGGTGCGCGATCCTCCACTTCTCACAAATCACATGGGATTGTAACGCCCGGTGGTCACATGGGATTGTAACGCCCGGTGGTCACATGGGATTGTAACGCCCGGTGGTCACATACACTGCTGGGCAGCTGCGACCATGTGCACACCCTGCGAACTAATGCAAGAGCACTGCATGCTGAATTCGGAATGCCCCTCCCCATAAAACCTCATCCATCCAAAGCTGCACGCATCTCCAAATGTAACGATTCGTTAGCAAGGTGTTACGTCTTAACAACCATTGACGTCTACGCCAACCGGCTCAAGTGGCGTTTACCAACGCTGGTGCGCGAACATAGCATCCAATCAACTCAGCACGAGGACTATCGGTCCCGTGCCCGAAGGCACTACCATTCTGTCACTGGTTAGCTGACTGGCCGTCACTCGTCTCCCTGTAGGAAATAGCTGTCCGTAACTCCACTGGTCAGCTGGATACCTGCCACTGGTCAGACAGCTGGTCGTCACTGGTTAGTTGTCCGCCATCCCTATTCAGCTGGCTGGTCGTCACTGGTCAGTTGGCTAACCGTTACTGGTCAGCTAACTGGCCGTCACTTATACCCCACCCACCCTGGCTAACCCTCAATGGTCAGCTGGCTGTCACTGGTCGTCTAGCTGGTTGTTAGTGGTCAGCTGGTTCGTCACTGGTCAGCCAGCTGGCCGTCACTTGTTCCCTGCCAGCGCTGGCTAACCGTCACTGGTCAGCTGGCCGGCCGTCACTTGGCACCTGACAGCGCTGGCCAAACATCACTCGTCCTCCTGCAGACGCTGGCTGACCGTCTCGTACCGAGCCTTTGTCAGTCGCAGCAGATCCTCGGTCAGCTCCTCCACTGTGGTGTAGCGCACACAGTCAGAGTTGAAAATATCTTGTACGTAGCCCGAAACCTGGTCCTTAAGATGGTGGCAGACGGCGCCAAACTGCTTGTCCGGTCCGAGCAGGCCCCACGCCAGCACAGGGATCATGTGCTCCGCCAGCGTGTAGAAGTGCGACTTGAAGCCGTTGGCGAACTTTAGCGACTGTCGCTTGGCTTTCATCACGGACCAGATTGCCGTGTTCAGCGCCGACTCCTTGAAGCTGCTAGTGAGCCAACGGTTTTGCATGACGGCGACGACCGTCGACGGCGGCGACTCGAGGTCGTCGAACGCGTCCAGGATGATGTAGTCGAGCACGATGTCGTAGAAGGTGAAGCACTTCACGTTGCGCGCCTGCAGCTCCAGCTTGACGGTGGGCCAGACGTCCGGCTGCGAGAGGTACTCCACGAGAGCATCGTACGCGGCCACGATGTCCTTGGGGTGTCGGTCGGCGCGCAGCAGGAGGTCGTGCAGCAGCTGCCGGCCGGCGTCCACCAGCCAGGCACGCGCCGCCGGCTCCAGCAGCAGGCACTGGTAGCCCAGCCGCACGCAGTGCAGCCGCGCCAGGAACTCGACATCCGAGCCGCAGCCGACGCGAGCGGTGCGCAGCGTGCGGAACGGAATGCCGTCCGTCTCGTAGAGCTCGAGCGCCGACTGGTAGAGTGGTAGCTGGCTGGCGGCGTCGCTCAGCTCGGCCAGCTCGTCGAAGTCGGAGAGGTCGGCCACCTCACCCTCGGCCGAGTGGAACGAGTCCACGGAGCAGTCGCTGAAGGCGTTGCGCGCGCGGCCGCGACTCGACGGCGCCGTCGGCACCGGCGTGGCCGACGACGAGCGGTACAGCGCCGACTCGTAGAAGAGGAACATCTGTTCGCACTCGGCCTGCAGCCGGCAGGCGGCGTCGAGCAGCCGCTGCAGTTGCTGGCAGAACTCGGCCTCCTCCCGGCTGGGCACGGCCGCGCCGCCCGTCACGTCCGCCCGGTACGCGGCCAGCGCGTCCTCCCAGTAACCGGTGGCCGTCTCCAGTGCCTCCATGCCCATCATGCCGAGCTGCTGCGGCAGCATCTGACCGGTCTGGTTCTCCGGCACCACCGTCATCAGCGACGACACACTGGCCGTGCTGAGCGCAGACGACGGCAGCCGCCGACGACGCAGCGTGCCTCCCGGGCTGGCCGCATCGCCGGCGCCGTCGCCGGCCGCCGAGGCGCGCACAGAGGCCGGCCGCGGCTGAGCACGCATGTAGCGCAGCGAGCTGGCAGCCGTCAGCACGCCAGGTGGCGCGCGGCGTCGGCGCAGCAGTCGGCCAGCCAGGCCCAGCAGCAGTGCCCCGCCGCCAACTGCCAGCAGCGACATCTTGTGGGAGCGGGAGAACACTAACACACTCTCCCAGGAAGGCAGGTGGACTCGGACAGGTGATGTCACAGACATCACAGCTTATTTTTGGCTGTAGTCAAGTGCAGTAACCTGAAAGAGACAACTGTTATAGAAAATTGCATATAGTGCAGACCTAGTGCAAACCCGGTAGCCAACCTGGTGCAGGCCTAATCACAGATCAAGTGTGGCGCATATGCACACTGCAAAACAATCTGTTGCTCATCTCAGTACTTTATCTTTGCCACTTGCTGGGCCAGACATGTAATTTTTTCTTTCTAGCTGCAGGGTACTTTTTCTTCACCATGGGTGCCAAATAATCTGTATGGGGGGGGGGGGGGCCTAAACAAAACTGGGTTTGAACACAACATGTATTTTTGAAATCAGTGTTACTAATGCCAAAGGTGTTGTATGGATGCCTTGAAAAAATATTTGATGGAACTAACCTGCCACCCGTGGTTGACCCATTGCAAAATGGGAGGCATCCAGTTGCACTGCCCTTTCTTTTCAAGAATACACTGCATATCAGCAACATTTCCACTTGAGCCATGTACCACTGAACGAAATAAATGCAATTTCATTGTGCATGGTTGTGCCATGGCTGTTCAACAATGCTGTCTCTTACTCAGTAACCCTACAATTTTTTTTCACTCATGGGTACCGACCGCTTGGTACAGTTCACAAAAGGAGAATGACAGCAAATTAACTCAGGTGAGCTAACTTTAGTCACATGTTGCAGACATACCTCTGTGTGCCCCATAACTCAGTCTGTTACTGCGCCTTTCTCCCAACCTAACCATGGATGGGCAGATAGATTCAAGCCACCTCTTCCCAAAAAATTCGCAGACCGCGTTGAGGATGGGGATGAGAAGGGGAAAATGCATAAGCCTGCCTCTTAAATATTTAATAACACGTTTCAATAAAATCTGAGGAATGGAACCCCAGATGACCAGAAAACTGTGCTGAGGAACGCACCCCCTCCCACTGTGCCTCACAAACTCACCTCACCACGCGTCGCGGCGCCGACGACGACACACTAGAGCATGCACAATACAGTCGTGAATCCGGTGAACTCGACGAGTGCCGCATATCGATCACTCGCGTCATATATGTCTTTTACTTTTTTAGAGGAGCTGGTTTCTTGTGGGAGTAAGAGACCAACTTAATATTTTGAATTTGTCATATTCAGCTGTAATAAGTATTCATTGATGCACCTTTGTCATCTAGCAACTCAAGTTCAGTCATATGAAATAGTAATTCATTTATGTATTCATTTTTGTTATTCATTCAGGCAGCTATATCTTTACCTTCTTTCCTTTCCTTGCTAGCAATGCTGCAAGTTTTACATTTATGACACCTTTGTTTCGCTCTTTCCATTCCATGCTATATGCTGAAACTGTCGCTCGGCTTTACACCCACGGCTTTATTGGACGGTACTATGCGGTGTTAATTGGTATTCTGCGGAAGAAGTACGTACTGTGGACAGCTCAAAACAATTTTATGTGAAATTTCAGTTTTACAAGGGATTTGCGAGCTGGTAAGAACATAAGATGAGATGATTTGCTGTATTTCCTGTTTGTTTTCCTGTAGTTCAAAGGTATGAGGGGCATGCGTGTTGTTTTTGACTTGTTGCTTACTGTCTGTGGACTGAGGACTAAGTGTTGGAGTGGTGACATATGCTTTTGGACACTGCCTGCACTGGTCATTCATATGGTACCCGAAAATGTTTGAGGGTGGAGGACACCATAAGAGTCAAGTTTTCTATATGACGGTGATCCATTACAGCATGGCCATATAGCACAAAACTGCAACTACACACCCACCTATGCTCAAATCACAAGGCGAATTTAATGAGCCAGAAATGGGTGGGCTTAGATTTTATTTTATAGGGTTGGATGGAATGTGCGTGCATAATGTGTGTGATCTGTGCATCAGGGTTCTTCCACCATTTATATTAATAAATTCTGACATTTCTTGTGACCAGCTGGACACAAGGAAAGGCCATATTCATGCCAGGGGCTCATGGTGTTAAACACAAAGCTTTGGGCTGGCAAGGGCCTTTGGGCCAGGCCAGGTCCCATTCCTGAAGAGGGCTGTGGACTGGGGGTCCCCCGAGTGTGGGATTTGGTTCCAACCTTTTGATTGGGTGACCTGGGATCAGCACCCACTGAAGTGTTTTTGCAAACCCTTACCCCACCATCCCATCACAAAATTCCTTGTCAATTATGTATTTTGTTAAAATTGCAGCAGAATTTCAGAGTACTGCAATGCTCAGCATGTTCCTCTGTCCTCTTGTTGCACCTGAACTTAATTACTGGGGTGACCACTGGCTGCAGTCAGAATGCTAGTGTCCTAACCAGCTGAGCTATTGCCATGGGTACTGCTGAATGAATGGAAACCAGCTGAGCTATGGGGATGGACAATGGAACACATTACAATGCAAGGAGATACAATAATTGGCTGCTAAAAGGTTTTTGCTGGAATGATTATTCAGACTCTCGTCCTCGCTTGCTGTGATAGCATCTGCACAATGTTTTGGTCCATCGATGATATTGCCTTCACCGGTGTTACTGTGTTGTGATAACGTCTTGATGTTGTTTTGTTTCTTAAGCATGTATGTGTCTCAGCAGGGTTTTTTCCTCCTTGACATTGCTGGCATTGAGACCAGTTTCTTCTGAGTATGAGTCCAGTACTCTATCAACTGAGCTAACCACGACGGACCCAGTTGTTGGAGCACTGGATGTGTAATCATGAGTGAATACCAGCTTGAATCACAGAAATTCCATGGATAAAAATTTGGTTGTCCATGTTACATAAATGAAAGATAAACACCATTGCTTCCTTCTCATGACTCAGTTAACAATGGCCAGAAAATATTGTCCAAAACATCCAAACATTTCTTCCATCCATGATATTAGAATCAATGAGGAACGGGTCAAGATTCAGCAAGGGACCCGGCGTCGACCGGGTGTCAACTGATCTGGTCAGAGCGCCTGCTCTGTCTGGAAGGGAACCCATGTATGCTGTGCTCCTCAGAGGGCCTCCAGATTGACCTGGGGGCTCGGGCCGTTGAGTCGACAGCACGGTTGCTGGAAGTACCCCAGGCTGGAACTGAAAAGCCCTTAAGCCCCTGAATATGAAAGTGATGTGGTCCCCTAGTGTTCTGTCCACAGGGACCCCTGCCTGGGATAGGTAAGAGGCCTCCCTAATGTGCAATCCACAAAGTACCTTACTGGATGTGCCCCTTGATATGACAAGATAAAACAAGAAAGAGGAGAATTTTAAACATTGAAATAAAGTGTGGTGAACCAGTAATGTCTTTCAGGAGTCTTTTCATTAGAGTCTTCTTTCCCTCCCCATACAAGACTGGCTGGGCCCCTGTCACGCAGCACAGCAAGATGAAACACAACTTTTCCCAACGTAAGGGTGGGGTCAGTGCTATCGCCATTCCTCGGCCGCTACCGCTGCTTTTGCGCGAACACGTGTGAAGTCTTACATGCTTGTGAGCATGACCATCAGTGGCTGTATCGGCCTTGGACGGTTGCCAGAGACGACCGACCCTGTTCCAGGCTGGCGTCATGACGTCGCTATGGCGGGCTGTGACCTGCAGTGCTGCCAGGTCCTGGCCGTGCCAAGCGCAGCCAAGATCACTGTGCACTTCGCCACTGGTGCATGTCAAGAAAAGTAAGTGGCGTAGTTTGATGCATCTTCACGAGTCAGTGACTAGGTAACAAGGTTATATAAAAATATATATGATCGAATTATGGCGTGAGATGTCACGGGGATTCCGTGTTCGTTTTTTGGCCTCCGCATGCGTGGTGTTTATTGTCGTCATTGCAGGTGGCCAGTTGTCTGCATGGTGGAGAGTGATGCTGAACCTGTACCGCGCGTTGTTTGTATGAGTGGCAAGGGTTTCTGTGTCCCTTGCCTGCCCCCAGGCGAGTGCGTGAACGCGGTACTGGTCCCCATTTGTTCCCCCAGCGGCCTCTACAGAGGAAGATGACTCTGACCTGTCTTTTCCACAGTCGTCTGCGCGGAGGAGGACGGCAATCTGACGATAGAGGGGCGGATCGAGCCGTCGCCCAGGGAAGGCCGTGTCGTTAGTGCCCACGCAGGCATGTGCACCTGTTCTCTCTGTCAGCTCAACCTCAACATCAAGCACACAGTGAGTGGGTGGCGTTGAGCTGCGCTATTGCTCGGAGGGGGGGGGGGGGCGAAGGCCATCGGTTTCTCGCCCCCTCCCCTTCCCACCTCCATGTTCCCATAGCTGTGCGAACTAGCAGGCAACTTTGACAGCGGACGGATTAAGCTGATCATGGTGTAGTGTATGTTCTCAGTGACAAAGCCTTGATGTGTGGTACTGTACTGCATCGCACATGGAGCCCGTTTTCAGAATGCCTATGTCAGAAGCCCCGTATCGGAAATATTTATTTTGAACAACCTGTTAAAGCCATTTTCAGAGGAACTGCACTTAAAGGACCAGATTTCAAACTTTATGTTTTCAGAACACTTAGTTTGAAAAGCTTCCCGAAGTCTGTTTCAGAAAGAATTTGTTTGGCAGCCCACTTTTTACAAAGCCTTGTTTCCAAAAGGCACATTTTCAGAAGGCATGTTGAGACGCCTACCTTCCATAGCCCATGTTCAGGAGGCGCGCCTGTGTAACGTCTTCTGAGCCGTGTGTGATGAGCACGTGGCCGCGCGCAGGACGTGCTGATCCTGAGCCAGTTCCTGCGCTCCGACGGCTGCATGATGCCACGGCGCGTGACCGGAGTCTGCCGACTGCAGCAGCGGCGCGTCCAGCAGCTGGTAGCCATGGCGCAGAAGGCAGGTGAGGCCGCTGGCGCAGATGGCAGGGGAGGCCGCTGGCGCAGGTGGCAGGTGAGGCCGCTGGCGCAGATGGCAGGGGAGGCCGCTGGTGCAGATGGCAGGTAAGACAATTGAAGGCCTTGGCATAGAGGGCAGGTGAGGCCACTGGTGGCCATGGCGCAGAAGGCAGGTAAGGCCGCTGGCGGCCATGGCGCAGAAGGCGGGTGAGGCCACTGGTGGCCATGGCACAGAAGGCGGGTGGGGCCACTGGTGGCCATGACGCAGAAGGCGGGTGAGGCCACTGGTGGCCATGGCGCAGAAGGCAGGTGAGGCCACTGGTGGCCATGGCGCAGAAGGCGGGCGAGGCCACTGGTGGCCATGACGCAGAAGGCGGATGAGGCCACTGGTGGCCATGGCGCAGAAGGCGGGCGAGGCCACTGGTGACCATGGCGCAGAAGGCGGGTGAGGCCACTGGTGGCCATGGCACAGAAGGCGGGTGAGGCCACTGGTGGCCATGACGCAGAAGGCGGGTGAGGCCACTGGTGGCCATGACGCAGAAGGCAGGCGAGGCCACTGGTGACCATGGCGCAGAAGGCAGGCGAGGCCACTGGTGACCATGGCGCAGAAGGCAGGCGAGGCCACTGGCGACCCAGAGGCGCAGGCGCAGCGGCTACAGCGACCGGCTGGGACGCTGACGGCGTCGCCTTGCGGGGCGGCCCGCTTGTGCAAGTGACATCCAAATGAAATGGCTGCGTAATACCTTCAAGACAGGTCATTTGACGCGAGACGAGCCACAAAACGACAGCTGTATTGGAGTTTTGCAAATGTTGCAAACCAGTCGTGCCATTATTTGTGTTTATCGCGATTTTCTGACAGGTGAGAGCGCTGGCTAGTTGAGGCTGGTGACGAGTTGACTTATCGTCATACGTGTGGGGTAATGAGATATTGCTTGGATGGCTCACAATGTGGCTCATAAATGCATTAATGAAGGATGCTTGAATGCACAAATTTGTGATGTATGAATGAAAAGTATTCACGAACAACATGACCTTAGGGAATTGACTGCGAAGACGCTACTTTGAAAAGAGCGTCACCGTGGCGTCGTGTTTGTTCCCGCAAGTTGAAATGAGCTTGTGATCTTTGTGTCCCCCAACGTTCGACAACTCGGGGCGGTGCCCGCGTGGGGTGTGCCGCCTGGCAGCAGTTGTTGGCCACCCGCAGGTCTGATGCCCAACCTGGCGCCGGCCTGGAGCAAGCGCGACCCCAAGCTGCGCTACGGCTACAGGAAATTTAACAAGTACTTCGACGAGTCGACCATCCGGGACGTGCGGCCGTTCGCCAACCTGGAGGCGCGGGGCGGGCCGCCGAGCGTGCAGTGACGCGGCGCGGCGCGGTGCGGCAGTGCGTGAGAGGAGTGTGGTGACGTGGTGGTGAGCCTGTACACAATACACGGGGTGCTTGTGGCCCGGACAGTGCCGAGACGTGTGGAGCGCCGGCCCGAGACGTGGCGTTCAGGCCCGGCATCCCATCGCAAGTCAAAGGCCCGGAAACTAGAACGATTCATCAAAAAGCTCGTCAATGCTGAGTCAGCAGTTAGTTTTAATCAAACATGCATCAAAGAAAGGATTCTGCCAAAATATTCCAACACAAAGCGACATGACCAGGCAGTTAAGAAAGAGGGTTTTACCAAAAGGTATAGAGAACGACTTGTGAATCACCGACTGCAGCAAAAGAAGACGGCCTGTGAAATCCTGAAGAGAAAGAGAAAAGTTTTAGAGCAAGAGCTACAGATATGTTGCCCTGAACATGAACTAAAACAAAAAGTATTTGACGGACTCGACGTGACTAAATGTGATGCTAGACGTCTTACTAGAAACAGAATCTTGAAAAACTCTCAAGGCTCCATGGCGGACATATAGTATTACCGGAAACTGCCGACGGCTACATCAATTTATCTCAACATGATCTTACTGAGGAACAAGAATAGGTGCTTGATCTTGGACTTCATTGCCATGTGTTGTCGAAATATGATAAACTTAAGAAGAAAGTAGAACTAGAAATTCTTTACCAGGATATCTTGAATTTGGAAAAAGAGGACAGGGTTGCCGTGGACAAGGATCTAAAGAACAGCGTACTGGGAGAGAGCACAAAAAAGCGTGGAAATGATAGGAGCAAGATATTCCCACAAGGACTCAGGACGGCGCAAAGGAACTTCGAGAAAAAGACGACAGCATCATTCGGCGAGGGGACAAATCATCACTCTACGTAATACTTGACAAAAAGAAATATCATGAGAAACTAAACTACATCTTGAACGACAAGAAGTTCTGGCGCATCACAAAAGATCCAACAGACAAACTCAAGATCAAGCTTAACAAACTAATAACTGCTGCCAATGCCGCTGTTGATGGCATACACTTTTCCAAGATAACGGGGGAATTTGCGCCTGGTTATGCTTATGGGTCTGTGAAAACTCACAAAAACGGCAACCCACTTCGTCCAATAATTTCACAGATCCCTTCACCAACCTAGAGAATTGCAAAACGTCTTAATGGTCTTCTGTCCCCATATCTTCCCATGTGTTACGGCTTGTCATCAACGGATGAGTTTATTGATATAGTGCGATCTCGTCAACCTAAGGGCCTACTAGCCTCTCTAGATGTTGAAAATATATTTACGAACGTGCCCATTGAAAGAACCATATCCATTATCCTTGACCGCGCCTACAATCATCCTGAAATTCCTCCCCTCAAAATATCAAAGCGCCTTCTTGAACAATTACCAAAAGCCTGTACGTTGGAAGTTCCTTTCCACGGGCCTGATGGCCGAATGTATTGCCAAGTTGGGGATGTTGCGATGGGCTCACCTCTAGGACCTCTATTCGCTAATTTCTTTATGGGACACGTATAAGCCGACGTACTACAAAATGACGACATAACACTGGACATTTACTGCCGCTACGTAGACGATATCTTTGTGGAAGTTAGGGACATTGACCAACTAGGACGTCTCAAAAACACCTTTGAAGAACGGTCCGGCTTAAAATTCACAACAGGGCTAAGTGTGCAAAGCGTAATACCATTTCTTGACGTGGCTGTCGATGGACAGGGATAACAATTCAAAACGACTGTATACCGAAAACAGACTGACAACGGACGGTGCTTAAATGCTGACAGTGAGTGTCCTCGACGCTACAAAATTAGCGTAATAAGGTCCTTCATTAGACGAGCATGTAAGCACTGCTCTGACTGGAAAGGACTACATTCGGAATTGATCAGAATCAGACAGATCTTGGTGAACAACGGTTTTTCAAATTCTGACGTTGAAAACGAGACACAACGACATATGACAAAACACTTGACGGCAAACCAAGGCAAGACATCCAACCAACCGTCAAACTGTGTTATCAAAATCAAGTGACATCTGCCCACAAACAAGACGAAAAAGCTTTACGGGAAATGATCTCTCGACGTGTTAAAGGCAAGAACGGCCACAAAATAGACATCGTCATGACAATCGTAATAAGAAAATATCTGACTTCTTATGAGAAACAGCCCAGACAAACCCGACAAACTAAAATGCACCAATGTAGTGTATCAATTCCAATGCAACATGGAAGGCTGCAAACTTCGTTCCATACACTACATTGGTGTGACCACAACGACGCTCTCACGACGCCTGACAATGCACTTACGTGACGGGGCACCTCTGGTCCACATGCGACACGAACACGACATGACATTGACACGACAACAACTGACAGACAGCACTGACATTTTACGAATGTGCGGTGATAGAAGACGCCTTCAAATTTGGGAAAGTATATTCAGTAACGAACTCTCTCCGGCCTTAAACAGACAGACCGATTCTTGCACAACTCTTGAGCTACTAGGTGGTGGGCGGTGAGCACTTCTGATGTGATTGTGGCAATAGTGTTCCCGTCGTATCTTTGCAGTGTTCCCATTATGAGTGTTTCTTACATATGTGAAAATGAAAATAGGATTCTACCTTACTTCAATTAGTTATGCTTCATTTATGTTCTCCGTACAAAAAGATGCTTCCAACAGTAGTGCACAATTTTTCATCCTTTAAAACTCAAAACTTCTTTCTTGTGCCATTTAGTTTTCTCCGACGATGAGATAGGATCTCGAAACGTTAGAATGGAAGGAGCCATGAATATATGAGTAATTTTGTGCAAACCATCTTTAATCTAAGCGATGATGCCAAGTCAAAGGCCCGGAAACTAGAACGACGCATCAAAAAGCTCGTCAATGCTGAGTCAGCAGTTATTTTTGATCAAACATATATATACACACACACACACACACATATATATATATATATATATATATATATATATACCAAGTTACGTACATGTATGCACGCACGCACGCACGTACACATGAACACGCACACACGCACGCACGCACACGCACGCACACACACGCATACACGCGCGCGCGCGCGGCACAAACGCACACAAGGCGCACAGACGTGGCATTTGCATGTTACTGAAAATGCAAGTGGGAGGTCAGAATGGCTTCGGAATTTCAGCACATGCTGTTTTCACTTGCGTTATTAGTCTAGGGATGTAGGCGCACAAAAAATGTTTTTGACATTCTTGTCGCAGTACGTGAGTGACAGAACCATCATCGGCCCGAACCACAGCATTCAACCTTTGCTTCCGCGGACGGTTGCTACGCCTTACCCACTCGGGAGGAGCCAGGGTGACCAACTTCAGCTCATGCAGATTGGGAAACATGTGATTCCTTGATTGGGGTACTTCCTTCTACCACACATTCGAGACGCAACAGCTTAGAAGTCTCAGCTCAGGGAAAGCCGGCGGCCACGTTTCCTTGATGAGACGTTGTCCAGCGACGAGCTTTTGAGTGTCCAGCAAGGAGCTTGTGTTGGAGGGGGGCGCAGTCATGCATATGGCGACTGCAACGCCGGGCGTCGATTCACAGCGATATTTCGATCGGCTCTCGCGTCACGAATTAAAGTTTTTGGGAACAACTTTGGTACCCCGTGTACTTTGGCCTCAAGCGTCAACTAATTTATCTGTCTCACTTGGTTTTGTTACTGATGGCACACCCTATTCTAGAGTGCTTTCGCTTTATCTCATACAAACGTAGGGTAGAATCAGCGACAAACCGCCTCATGGGTCGACCATGCGGCTTACAACTGTTAGAATTTTGCGAGTTATTAGCTATTGGAATGTAATTACTCACGTTATGTTTACATACTATCAGCGATGGCTTCCTCTGGTGCTGGTCAGAATGGGAGTTCTGAGCATAGGAAGTCATAATATTTATTATACGAATTATGAAAGATCATTATGAAAGACATTAGCTTTAGGTTAAGGAAAAATGAATTTCTATCAGCACTGGATCGGGCGGCCGCGGCTGGGAGCTTCGGTCATCCGCTTCCAGTGTGAAGCAAGTACCTGGATCCAGGTCCCAAAGGCGAATGACTGTCGCCCGAACCAGAAGATACCAGGTGGCAGGAGACCAGAGGGTCTCCATGGATATACGCCGTGGTGTGGCTCTCCACAGCATTGGATGGCACGTAAAAGACGCCTGGACAGGTACAGGAAAAATGAGAAGTCTAGCAGGGCGAGCCGGCGATGTGAAAACAGCTATCTTCTCAAACCGTTCAGGCTACATCCAAAAATATTTTTAATCGAAAAAGTATTGTTTATTTCGAGGCTGCACACACGAAGCACTCAGAGACAACAACAGAAGGCTCTCACATTAGCCACAAAGTCATGTGCGCCAAATTGCGATGGACAATTGCCTAACGCACCAGTGTGTTGCATATAGTTACCGTGAAGTAGCGAAGTGTGCGCATGTGATAGGTCTTAATACCAAAACCGGTATAAAGCTAGTAGCACACCACGACGCGTGATGTGCAAGGCGGTCACAGACGTGATAGTATCAATTATCATGCATTACGTGACGTCACAGCAAACCTGATGATCGCCGACACACCTGAAAACCAAAGCCAATAGGTCTGGTAAATCCCTTGGAAAATCCGCCTTTCAAGAGAGTTGGGTGTGGTAGTCTCAGTCGACGGAATAGATCTGTCGTTATCACGGTGATCTAATCGGTCTCAGTCGACGGAATAGATTACCGTGATAATGACAGATCACACCATTCCAAACAATGCACTTAGTCTGCTTGGATATGGGCCCCAACTTGGAACTGCTTGGAACCCAGTCCCCTGGGGGCTTAGGCCGCGGCTTGTCTTGTTTGATGTATCCCCGGGACGCAGGGTTGGTGAGACCTGAGAGTGGTTTTGACCCGTGCCGAACACCTGTTCGTGATCAGAAAACGTTTATTGAACGGAGAGGCGATATGTCGTCTCCGTCAGCCATCATACACGCTGCTATACTGTACAGAATATCCCGCCCGACGTAACAGCTCATGTGCAAAGACATGAAAACCTGCGCAGCGAACTTTAAGATGCGCGCGAT